CCAGAACCACTATCTATCAAATTAAATTAGTCAATATAAACACCAGATTACAATAAAAAAAACATTTATTTTTGTTACAATTAAGTGCCATGGATAAATTACATAATACAGGTGTCACAAAATCATCATGTTAATCACAATAGAAAATTTAAGATAAGATTTTGACTATGAATCAGACTAAAAATACTTTAGTCTGATTCATAGTCAAAATCTGTTTCTAAATATTCTACACCTGATAACAATGACAAGGAATCATCAGAGTCACTCTCTTCACTACTGTCTGCACCAACAGATATAATAAATTTTTCAAGTTCGTTTTCAACAATGCCATCTTTTAATTTGTAATCATTTTCGACATTTAAAACATGATCAGTGTATTTCTTCCAGTCACTAGTGGTAATTAAGTTAAAACACTCTATTATTAAGTTTTCCATTTCCTTTCCTGGTATTCCAATGTTTCTGCTTGCAATTTTTCTTTTTGCTTGACTCCAAACCATCTCTATTGGGTTTAAGTCACAATGATACGGTGGCAGCAATAAAAGTTCATGATTATGTTCTTTTAAAATCTCTTCAGCTTCATATACAGGCAATGTTTTCTTATCATTAACCAAACACATTAACTCTGCCTTTGTCTGATATTCCTCAAAATGTATTCCATTATTTACAAGCCATTTACGGATATCTGCTTTGGTATTAGACATTATAGGCGGTTTATTGATTTGTTTTATATGGTAGCTGGCATTATCCATAACAATTACACTGGGCTTACTTAAATTTGGTATTAATTTTTCTCTGACCCATTTCATAAAGTTCGATGAGTTCATATCATCATGATAATCAGCAGATTTGGATTTACTACTGAACACTAATAATGCACCAGGCACAAAACCTTCCTCAGATCCAGCATGCACAACAATATGCCGTTTTCCAGAGGATATCTTTGTAGTGACACCAGTTGTTGAAGGTCCTTGCCAAGACTTTTTAACTTTATAATTCTGATGTACATAAGTTTCATCAAGGTACACAATTTGCTTTCCTTCGTTTCGTTTTATATTTATTTCTCTCAAATACTTGTGCCTCCATGCAGAAATCTGGTATTTTTCTATAAGCATAGAACGTTCATTTTCATTGCTTTTAAAAGAAAATCCATTCTTAAGCATAATTTTTCGTAAAGTCTCACGGCTACCACTGAATCCTATTGCATCTTTTAATTCATTGTGAAGGCTTCTTAATGTTGGAACAATTTTTTTCACACAGTAAAATTCATTTACTTTATTCCGAATTGCACTTAAATCAAAATTATCTAAAGCAGACACTGTTGGTTGATGAGGTCGTTTTTTCCCAGGAGTGTCCCATTTTCCTTTATTAATTAATGCTTCATTTTTTATCCTTCTTAGTGTCCTTATACTTACATCTATAAAAGATTAAACACTTTGAAACAAAGATATGTTAAATGTATTTAAAAGCAAATAATGATAGACACATACATCAAAATAATTTAAATACCTATTCAACTATGAATGCAATTTATGTTTAATTTAGTTAAGTTTATGTGCATATTTAGCATGTATAACAATTACATGGTTTGATTAGTTTCATGAATTCTGTGAATTTCCTTGTTAAACAAAACATTCTTATGACATCATTGGATGTCAACAATAAAAACCAATACATCATAAAAAACCTATGTAAATATTATAGGAATACTATCAATCTATCTTAAATCAAAACAAGAAAAGAGACCTGTCATTGAAGAAATTTTTTGTAAGTACTGCGTTTCCGAATTCAGCATTTCTTGTTTTTCTAAAGTTTTTATTGCATTTATCTCCTCCATTATTGGTTGAATATCACCATCACAGTTATCTGAAATAGAGCAATATTTTATAAAAAATATCTGTTTAGTTAATTACAGAAAATTAAAACGAAAGTATCAAAATTATAATACAAAACTAACCTAAAAAAGATACAACTTTATCTAATCGTTGTAATTTCTCCATGAAATTTTTATTTAATTCAGTTTTCACTTCAGTAAACTTGTCAATCATGATGGAAAGAAGTTTCCTCGATGAACTTTTTATCGGCTTCGACATAATTTTTAACCAAAAACACAAGTTCAAATTCGCAAAAACAACAAAATTCAATATTCTTGAATTGTCTAACGTAGTGTCAAACTGACAGTTCTATGTTGTTGCCATATGAAAACGGAAAAATAGGTGGTGTCACGTTTCGCTTGCCAAACTCTATTAGTGTTGTGTAGTGAGAGCCACAGATCATATTCTTCATAAATATCATAACTTATTTGTGCTATACTCTAATCTTCAAATATTATCTGTTGCTATTCTTTTAGAAATACACTGATTATGATTTTGTTTGTATCTTTATAATAAAGAAATGCTAGAAAATATATTGTGAAGTAATATTGGTTATGTTTATTTTTTTGTTAGGAATTCTTGTCTATGATTTAAGAGTGTTGCAAGCTAACCAAAATATGTTTTTTTTTTATTTTGTATTAAAATATAATAATTATGTATCATTTTACTGTATATTAATATTCATTTTCATATTTTTAAAAATCTTTTGGGTGATTAGAATTCACTGTAATAAAGTAAATTGTGCTCTAATTTGTGATTGTATAACCAATTAAAAGCCAATTTTAATTTATAATAGTATGTATTTAGTATTCAAATTTTGTTTAATTGCTTTTAAATATATTTAACACTATATAGTATTAATTCTATTAAGCGAATACTTATTTAGATTAATTACTCTGGAGTACTTGCTGCAGTTAAGTAGACAATTTATTTACTTTTTGTGATCGAGTAAGTTTATTTTAACTTATAAGTAGCATAATTGCTATTTTCAATATGTGATTAATACATGTGATATATCTAATTATTTGTAAAAATTTTGTGGAAAAGAAGTAAAATGCTTTTTATTTTAGTACCCTCTTTGATTTCACCCAACCTGTAACTTTATTTAATATTGATTTAGTAATTGATAATTATTTTCATTATAATTATTAATTGATTTTTCTAATAAGTCATAGCTCTTAATAAATCACACACACTCGACAGCGTACATAGAATAGATTTCGGCAGAATAGATTAAAATAGGTCTGCAGGTGTAATGAATTACACTAATTTTTATTATAAAAAAACCAAAAATGTTGAAAATTAACTTTCCTTTATTGTCTGGGGTCTGGGAGTTCTGAGTATTATGGTACCTTTGTTGTCACAGATACTCCAAAATACGGGGTTTAGTACTCCAAAATATACATCTTACAATATGAGCCATGTATGTGATGTTGAATGTTTATTTATCTACACTTAATATTATAAAAATTAAAGGTTTTATTGATTATTTTTTACACCGAATAGGCTCCGAAACCACTGGACCGATTATTATATTTGATCAATCTCAAACTACCAGGGACAAAGTGGTTTTTTAAACATTTTTATTAAGATTACTGAACCGATTTTAAAAACTCTTTCACATACGGGTAGCTACACCATACGCAGTTGACATAGGCTACAGTTTACACAAGCGATGTCGCGTGACAATAGCTATTTTATAGATATTCTAGTTTGAGATAAGAAATCTTCTGGGACTGGTTCTAGAATTTGAGTGAAGTATCGTGGTGGACTAACGAAAACCGTCAAGTCTCTTTATGAAATCGACTAGGATAACGGATACGATGGCAGTGGTGCACAAACGCTCATACCTCGAAAACACTAATACGTGCTCTGCTAATACTGTCTTGAAGTAATGAAATCCAGAATCTGATTAATTACTGATCAAAGTCAAATATCTCTGCAGGCTTACATATTTGTTTTCGATCAATAATTATTAAGATTCTGGATATCTATTTATTAGTATTTCGTAACTAAATATGAGACTAAAATATTCGATTGGATTAGTCAGAATGATAAAATACTTTGTGGTTACTAAGATCTACTAAATATCAACCTGTGTCAATAGTTTCAATGTTTTATTTCATTCTAAAATAACCTAAGGTTTTAAAAAATGGTCTTTCTAACAGCTATTGAGTAAACATACAGTGGCGCTGCTGGACTGACGTTAGCCCAACATCATCACAATGTTTCTTATTTGCCTTTCTTAACATAATTTTATAATTGAAAAAATAGGTACGTTATTCTCCTTTAAACGGTTTTCTTTATTGTCTATAGATATATTTTTTAATTTTGGTTGAATTAAATTTTCGAAATAGTTTTGTTTGTTTAAATTAGACTTTTTTAAGCATATTCTAATTTAGTAAAATTTAATTTTATTTCGAAAACTTCAGCAACCAAGCCCATTGATTCAATGTGCTAGTTAATTTAAGATGATAGATAGTGTATCAATATTTCTACAAAAAAAAAGTTCCTCTATTACTAATCCTTTCATCCATGGGAAGTTACATCATACGTGGTTGACTACAGCTATAATTTGGTGTTCTACAGCTATAATTTAGTTTCTAAACATTTCTACATATTATGCTGACTAAATTATTCCTCCTTTGCTAATAACAAAATATCTCCCCATAATCGAGGAACATTTAACTATCTAGTAACACTGATGATTTATTTGTTGTCCCTTACGGTGGCACGCCTAATAACACTCTATAAGTACTTACTCTAAGGTTTAAATCGAACCCTAGATACAGACAGACAGAGTATCAGTTAATCTGTGGTATCAGAGTATCGCTTATATTCACATTTAATGTTTAAGCTAATGCTCAGTGTAGCCAAAGCTTCAATAAAGAAAAAAGAAGTATCGCTTATATTGTTCTGTGGTATCGCTTCGCAATATCAAAGCCAGAAATATATAGGTACTTATACAGATATATAAAGGAAACGCTTGTAAATATATAAATTATCTCAATATAAAGACACGGCTGAAGGCCATGGAAGCCAATAAATTATCTCAATATAAAGACATAGCTGAAGGCCATGGAAGCCAGGGCCGGTAAAACCTTAAAAAAAAGCAATATCAAAGTTGTGTGTGTGGTTGTATAGCGTTTAATTTAGAAATGAAAAATAAATAGAGTGATTACGATAATATAGTGAAAAGATAACTGTTTAGAACACTACTACTCTTAAGTTGTGCTCGTTGAGTCATGGAATCATTGTCTAATGTGGATGTCAGTGATGAAGAAGAGGAAATAACAGCTGACATTGTTTTGAAAACTCTCCAGACGGCATGGCAGAATGAATGTTTGGCGCCAGAAATATTACCTCATAACAATGATATGGTCGAATGTATGCTTGGACAAATACAGCATATGGAACGAAATATTAACAAACTACCGAAAACCGACATACGAGCCTCAATTCATAAAATGGAACTTAGTCGAATTAAGTTTATTATATGTAATTACTTAAGAACTAGGCTTAACAAAATTGAAAAATATTGTATTAGTATTTTAAATGATGAAAGACAGAGAATGGAAACTGGGACAAATTACCTAACAGTAGGAGAATTTAAGTATGCTCAGGAATATCTTTTGAATATGGAGACTCATTTAAAAAATGTAGTTTTAGATAAAATGCCAGGTAATATGAAAACCTTAGAAATGAATAAAATGGCTGTCTACCCTAACTTGCAAACTCATGTGTTCTTAAAAGCAAACAGTACAATAAGCGGAGTTGTATTAGAGGATTTGGTAGGAGACCAAGATGAAGAAATTGATCTTGAAGGTGAACTATTTAGTTTTTTTATAATTAAAGAAAGTCATTTGAGTTAAGTATTTTTAGGAAAATTTAAAAATAACATGCCATCAGATACTTCAATAATTTCCAACATTATTTAGTTGTGTTGTTAATATGGATGTAGACAGCAAACAGTAATATTTAATATACTAATTATTGTTACCTATAATTTCACTTTTATATTTATAATATAGCTTATACTAATGAGGAAGTATTTAAAAAAAAATTGTTCCCAAAATCAAACTAGATGTCACTACAGTACTTTCTTGATTTGTCCATGACAACCCTTCCAGTTTTCTTTCATGTATAAAAGTAAATTAGTTTTTCAAAACTCAACAAACAACTCATATTCTATTTGTACATTTTTGTGTTTGTATTGATATGTAAGTATTGAACTTTGCAAATTCAGTTTTTTAATATGTTAGTTAAAAGGAGCGGAAATTACTATATTTGGTCCAATTGTTTCCTGCAAAAATCAACTTTTGCTAGAGTCGCCATCTAGTGGAGGTGCTTATTTAGTGTTAAAAAAACACTTTTTTTTTCTTAAATACTTACTCATTATGAAAAAACAAATATGTCACTAGACCACAAACTGCGCATGATGTCACTCCCTTCTTATATCAACCTTAGAGAATTCAACCTAAGCATATATAGAACCATATTCGTTTCACTCTGAAATGAATATCACATGACGTCATAGCAACACCATGACAGAAGTGATGTTTTTGCAGGAAATTTTAAAAAAATATTTATTTTAAATTCTAACTTATTATGAAAATGAAATTTAAGACATATTTTATGTATATGTATAAAAATAAAAAATAGTTGCCTACCTCTGTTATAATTTTATTGTTTTTTACCTTTGCAGAAGGGTCGCAGCACATTCTTCAATACAAACCTATAGCTGATTTAGTGAAAAATGGAAAGGTCCAATTGGTGTGATAAACAAGAGTCTAACTAGAATAAGATTTAAGAAACATCTTAAGCAACATATACAAGCAGTTATCTTATTCATTTTAAGGAAGATAAAGAAAAATATTCTTAGCTGACTATCAGCCAGTTGCACAAATGACCATTAAAACTTACATTAGTTTAAAGCGACATTACCCATACAAATTTGACATTCATTAGAGCTTAAAGGCGTCATTAAACCCTAATGGATGTTTGTGCAACTGACCATATGACTTTATTTGTAATTTTAAAAGAACCATTACTGCTCACAAGTCACTACTATCACACCAAAACTAGCTACTAGCATATCAAAAGATTTGAAATTTATATTTATTGTGATTTTAGAAAACTGAAATACAATAAAATACTCTTTTACATTGAAAAAATATATTTAAGTGACAAAGGCTTGATACAGTTATTAAAACTGTAATTATTCAACAAAGAACATATTTATTTTTAATGATAATTACTTAATAAAATCTGTTCCTGGCACTTCAAGATGGGACTCAACCCGAAACAACTCACCGAGCCAGGTACAGAGTGGATTTTTTAAGCATTTTTCAGTATAGCATTGTGAATGCAAAATTGATCAAATAAAACAAAAATAACATATTTGTATGACATCACAAGTCTATATACTCACTGTCAACTCTCTTAAATAACCATATTCGTCAAAACAAGATAGCAGTTACAGTGATTGGGTAAATAACACAAATATCCAAGAATTAAGTTTTATTTGACAAAAGAGTCAAACCAGTTTGTTACAACCATTTTATGAATTGAGAAAAATACAAAATCTCAACTGATTATTCTCAATATTCTTTTTAAGTTTTTTACATTTCACAAGTCAAAAGCCCAAAAGTTTTATATAACTTCTATCAACTGATTATTTAAAAAAAATTTAAATCAGTAAGTACAGTCTGAGATGTTCTTAATTTAAAATTATCAATTCAGAAACTGGGTGTTAATCTTTAACAGATTTAAATGATACATATACATATCTAACTACAATAATATTAATAATACAGTTCCAAAACTAGCATTCAATTCTGTAGATTAATTAACACCAAAATAACAGATTCAAATGACAAACTTCATTCTTTGGATAGGTTGAAATGTTTAAATATATTCTATTATCAGCAATTTTTATACATAGTCCTGTTATTATATCAACAATTCGAAGCAAGATCTTTTTATGTATGTAAATAAATACGTATATTTTTGGTAAGATTTCAGTAAACAGATTTAAGTTTTTAGGGTTAACTTTGTGTAGTATTCTATTATAAATTAATCATGTTCTTAAAGAAAAATGCTTAAAAAATCCACATTGTCTCTGGTATAATAGCATTTACCTCAGTATAAAATTGTGAATTCAAAATCAATTAAGTATTATAATTTAACATGTATCAAAATATATAGGAATACTGGTCTAGTACATAGTGAACTTTTGTATTGTGTATTGTATTATTTTGTGACAACTAAATATTGAAATTAGGGGAGTTGATATCCTTAAAATATACTTATGATATTTAATAATACATCCATTTATCTAGTAAGTAAATTAATAAGTACATATAATAAGGATAAATCAACATGAAACAATAAGAATAAATGAGTTAAATGGTCACTGTTTGTCCTATCAACTAATATTCATTCATAAAGATGTATAAGTACATAATTTCAAATCTGTAACATTTGATAATAAATTAATAATAACAATAATGTATATCACATTTAATCGCATCTCATAGTAGTTACATTGGTATAGGAGTTTGTTCTAAAAGAACTTATTAGGCTTATATATTTATTGTTTAAATTAGATTACAAAGCAAAATATAATTTCAAAATTCACTATTTTAGTATCCCTAAGGCACTCGCGAACAACAAGGCACTTTATTGTAAATTAAATCATGTATATTTTTTTAAACAATTGTATTTATGGCGTCTGAAAATGAAATACAAAATAGATAAGTACACATTTTCACATGTCGCTACGTTGTATATAATAGTAAAAAAAAATATTTCCTTTGTGATATTTAACTAAAGCTTGAATATGTTTTATAATATTAACAAATATCATAAAAAAAATTAAGTCACCTTATTCCTGCAGAAAACAAACAATCGTATAAGAATAATATAAAACAATATTTTTACGTATAAGATTAGGTTAGTTAATTTATTTTTGTAAAATTAAAATAAACATGCTCAATAACCCATCAAGTATTTTTATTTATGAGTAATACAATCTACAGATTGATTGTTTTATAATTTAAGTTTATTGAAGGAAAAATTAAATAAAATGTAAATAATCAATTACCCTAAGGTAAACTCGAATAACTAAGAACTATACTTTAAACATATTGCCATATATTTTTGGTGTGTAGAGTATGTATGATATCAAAAAACAAAAAAAAATTAAGTACGAGTATGTGTGACAGAATATAATTTATATCTTGTAACAAATGTGATAAAAAAGTCAAGATTACCCAAAAAGGTAAATGTAATCAAAAATGTTTTAAGTACTATTATACAAAGTTACACATAGTTTTATTGATAACTACTTAGTATATGTAAGTACTTAGCATAAAAAATCATAGAATAACCTTTGACTAAAGTAAATTTCATGATAGCCATTGAAATTTTAAGTTTGAAGATCCTTTTGCAAATGTTTAAATTATTGCCCACATAGGCCGATTCATAAATGCTTTGTTTTTTTACTTTAGTCGAAGCAGGTAACATTTGTTGCACTGGGTTAATATATGTTCCTATGTAACTGGTAATATTTAATTTTAGTCCATATCAGATTGTTTGGGATTTCCATAACTAAGTTAATTATAATGTATGTCACAGTGGTTTAGTAGCTAGATTTCTTCCAGGCAAAAATATTCGAATATAAAGCAGGTTATTTACTAGCGGTCTCCAGAAAAATGGCGAGCATTTTCATCGGTGCGTGTATATTTAAAATACGTAATTGTATTGTCTATTTAATCTTCGCTTAACAATACTATGTAATATTCACTTGGCGTTTCCATATAAACTGGGATCATACGAAGCAGGATGGAAAATTTCTTCTTAAACGGGTCCCAAGAAAAATCACCAGTCTCATGTTTTTTTTTAGTAAATCTTTCTTTACGATCAGTATCAAAATATATAATTCTACTATCAAGTCACAATATGATTTAAATAAATTGGTAACAATGTTTCGGAACTTCTAGTAATGTACCTAAGACGTACGTATCTGGTTGGCATCATCGTCAACGTATTTGATGTGTTGAGCGTGAGCTCGTGCTGCCAGTTCGCGCAGACTCTGCTCGGCAGCGGCACCGAGCTGCTGCACCATTCGACTGAAGTGACCCTCCGACATTTGAAGTAACTCGTGCGGGTGACCGCACTCTACTATGCGGCCTGCGTCCATCACCTGCATATATTTATACAAGATATAAATAATATCGGAAATGTGGTTTAAAACTTTAATTTATTAAATATTAAACTACTATCAGATTTATGTTTCTCCAAAAAGTTATATAAAATAAAGAAAAACATATTTTTATTTACTAATTTAAAACAATCAGTCTGGTTATATTTCGAGCAATGACGTCACATTTCAATAAACATGAGTACTGATTGCACTGGCAACAAACACGTTGGCGTTTGGTTTATCTTCGTTTGGTTTTCGGTTATTGTAATCCACAGACTAAAAAATCAACCGCAAATTAATTTTAATTAGGATTTTAAAAAAAACTTTATGGTTATTGTTTTGTACATAAACAACAATTCTGACATTATGTATTGTTATAACTGTTAAGTAGGTAGCCAATTAATTAATTGAGATACCTCTCGCTCATTTATCAAACTTTATCTAAGAGCGCTTAGAGTAAATTTTTCTGACCTTCACGGTCGATCGTGAGCGCGATAAAATTTTAGTAAAGAAACCGGCGTAGCGCCTCTTGCGGTAACTACCAAAAATTCCAAGTCTTCATACAAATTCTTAATGCGTTAATGCAAAAGTTTTTATGCGCTATACTTAATAGCTTTGTTTTAAACGCGACGAAGGTCGGTAGTTTTATATGATTGCCGGTCCGGAGCTCTACTTGCAGGATCACCCTCTACCCGTGAATGTCCTTTGGAAAAAAAAAATTACTCACAACAACTCTATCAGAATCTGCCACTGTGTGAAGACGATGCGCCACTGTCAACACCGTGCAGTCTGAGAAGTATTTACGTATGGATTTCTGGATCAATGTGTCGGTGCTGTAAATAAATAACATTATTATTACTTTATACTTTTACTATAAAACGCAATTGAGAAGTTTAATGATGTTGATATTATTATATTTAACACAATATGATAAAAATGAAGAACAAAACTTAAATAGAATAAGGAAACAAAATTACCAAGCCAAGTATTAAATACCAAGTAATACATTTTTAAAACTACGTGTTTTTGCACGGAACGTCTTTGGCCTCCGACTCGCCTGTTACGTCACAGCATCGAACTCGATATCGTCGCACTACACATTAAATAGGAGTCTGCAAAAATATTCTACTAATACAACTAACCGCTTTATTTATTATATTTGATATTTTTTTATATTTTTTTATTTGTAAATAGTTTATAAAACAGGCCAGTGCGAGTCGCATCGAGGGTTCCGTAGAAATATAGTATTTTAATACCTTAGAACCTATCCAATACTTAGTTACGTATTTAAAATATTTTATTTTCATAGTGGTAGTATGAAAATAAAATATTATTACATATTATGACAAAGTAATATTTGCTGTTTCTGTTAATGTGTTCTATCTCAGAATATGGTTACACCCCGTTCAAATAAGTTTTCATTGAAAATTTTCATTGGGCTTTACAGCGTTTTTTTTCGTATTCCAATCTTTAATTTTTAAAATTACACTTTGCTCATTGCATCATCACTTCTTTGGAAGTGAAAGTGGAAGGCAAAGTGTACACACGTTATTGGTTTTTGTATTAATTGTTGACTGCAAGCTCATTTACATTGGTCGATAGGGTTTACACTAAACAGAAAACCAATGACAATCAATGACCGTCTAATGAAAATAAGCACACAAATCGCCGCACACTGCATGCAGGCCCTATCGACCAATGTAAATGAGATTGCAGTAACAGATTGATCAATGGCACGTAATGATCGCCTACTGAAGAAAACCACAGTAATCGCCGCACACTGCATGCGGGCCCTATCGATCAATATAAATGATCTTGAAGTAATGGATAAACCAATGTACGCCTGCCAGCTAGCTAGCCAGTAAATAATATAAGTAAAATTCGGTAGTCAAGAGAGTATCTGTTACGTTCACACTATAGTCGAATTTAACCAACTCGATCAGCGTACGACGTGATTTAAAGGAATGTAAGTTAAGTGTCAATTATTTGGCTGCGATGAGCGTAAGTAACCATATCGTCCATTTTGATTTTAATATTTTTTCAATAAAATATCTTCTTTCTGTCCCATGCATATTGTAACAATTGCGAGTTCAAGAGATCAGATCGTTACAACTGTGTGACATCACAACAAACCAAAGTCCAACGCCAGTGTCTATCTTAACTCGATACACTGAAAAGCTTTTATGCTACTATCACTAATGCATGAAGTAGTAATTGAGAAAAAGTTGAATGTTTCAATAACACCATAGCGAGTTTCTTCTATAATAAACTCTTATAAATCGTATTAAAATCCGAAAAGATCTCAGCGTACAGACAGCGTAGTTGTTGTGTACTATGTATAGACGTTAAAATTCGAATTCACAGCGGGCGGCACTTTATCGTGGTGAGTATGACGTCGATCCCGAGTTTATAATATGAATGACAATATTATCAGTCACCGCCTTTTATAGATATGATAACCTATAACTGATTTCAAAAAGGAGGTCATCATTCCAACTCGTATTTATGCAATATTGTTCTATTGATGAATTACTACAAAAAATTGAAAGTACTTTGAACAATTGTAGTTTTCAATGTGGCTCAATCAAATTATTATCAAAAAATAGCAAACAGCATTTCGAAAATGAATAAATAAATGATCAAAATCTATCTGCATTTTAGTTCTTCATATGTCCTTCCTTTTATTTTATTACCAATTTTAGTTGTTTACACTATATATATATTAATATAGAAAAATCATAATAAGGGTTCAACCAACCAGCCTTGAGGAAAAAGGGGGTGTTGACGACGATACTACGAGCGGCCCGCTCCTTTTAAATTTATGTTCAGTTATATGTTAGTTTTAGTAATAAGATAATTTATTATATTGTATATGCCTCACACAGTGATCTTTTGTTTTAATAAATGTTTGTTTTCGCTGATGGTGCGAAACCAATCTCGGACTGGCCTGTTACCCTCATCATATTGAACCCGACCAATAGCAAGAGTCTGGCTGATCTTCTTGTACGACAGTCTCAGTTTTGCAGCACAAGAGTGAGCAGCGAGCGCGATCCGCTACGATACTTACGACGCCAACGCATTATCGCGCGTATATGCACTATCGACGTAACATTTATTTTTACCAAAATCGAACGTTTTCATTTTAATCACCCACCCTCTTGAACCCCTGCCGCCTAGCCTGGCATGATTGTCGGTAAAACACTGATTTTCTAGTGGCAAGTCGTAGAACCATTTATTTGTTATAATTGTAATAAAAAATATATTATACAATGAAGAATCGCCTATGTAAATACTGCCTTAACATATTGTGGGTAGAGTTCAAAAACAACTGCGAAATTACGACATATTGTTGTAACTTGCCGTGGTGCTGGTTATTCGAAACTTAGCTATTCTAATTCGATCGAAAAATAATTCTATGAATCTCGTCAAATACATACGTTGGGTCGACATTAGCTGTGGCCTCGTCGAGCACGAGCAGTCGATTACGAGCGAGTGCCGCACGAGCGAGACACAACAACTGACGCTGGCCCGCGCTGAAATTCGCTCCGCCAGATACCACTGCATTCGAAAGTGAAGTCACACTGTTCTTCAACTCCACCTATTTGGAAAAAGTGCAGAAATTATGTCAGCTAAATAAGAATAACACTATTCGAATCCACGACCGTTTGAAATCCGGGCGACTACGACGAAAGTTCGTGGGTTTGAATCCCATCTCAGAGTGCCAGGGAGCAAGTGGATTTTTTTAGCATTTTGTAATATATTTCAGTATAGCATTTTGAATGCAAAATTTATCAAATATAAGACTGTTAAACAGTCATTTTGGTTCGCATTGCGTGTCAACTTCAGGGTGTAAGATGTGCAAAAACATTAATAAAAATCAACACAACATCGTAGTTATTTAAACCAGTCACAAAATGGCATCTCCTTTAGACTGGCCAGAGTTAATGTTGTCACAAACATCATTAACTACATATTTAGTAATAAAAAAAACACCAAAAGATGAATTTGGAAAATATATTTTATTTATTATTATTTTTTAAAGTCTGTCAATTAATAATAAATGCAATAATTTAATAATATGTATGTCCCATCATCTTTACAAAGATCGTTTGATTTAGTTTCTTTTATTTTAATTGCTAGTTACTCGATTGTAGAGAGAGCGTGATCATCGATACTTTTAATTTTATTAGAATGGTGACACTGACTTTGACAGTTCGTTAACAAAAAGCAAGTTGCCGCCATTTTGGCACACATTCTGTTTCCGATTGCCGAGGTGTAAAGACATCCGACGACATATCGCTCATCTCGTTATATTTTCGTATGAAAAGTGATAAAATGGAACAAATCCACGTTGGTATACACGCCTGCAGTGTTATTTTAAAGATAGTCCTCCGATATGGACGATCTATTTGGGCTTCGTAATAGCCCCTTCTGACTACCCGCCGTTATGTATAAAGTTAAACGAATGAAAAATATCTAGCTAACTTTATTTTATTTGCTGTTAGTAGTAAAATGTGCCGTGAAGTTTGTAGGTTTGGCTCGAATAATGATAACGTAACATGCCAGTAAATGAGAGATATGATAGCGTGTTGCAAGAAATAAAGCGTCAAAAATATTTTAAATTAATAATTCACAAAAAATTAAGATTACTTTTGGAAATATACACCACTGTAACGTAGTAACTAGCAAATCTAAATTCTCACTAAAAAAAAAACTATAATTGATGACAGATTCGGTTCTGTATTTTTTCACAATCAATTTGAAATTAGTGTTTGATTTCAGTGCCCTCTTAGCGTAGGTGATCGAGATTAATGGTTTTGACATTTGATAACCTTCATATAATTTTGGCATTTGGTTTAATTTGTCGGTTATCAGTTCATTTGCAAATGAATGAATATTAAGATTACAACAAAGCAAACAAAAATAAAGATTACTTATTTAATCTTTATTATGTTTTATCAATTTCTGTTTAGCACAAATACAAGTTTAAAGATTTGTTTATTACAGACTGCACGCTTATGATGACTTGATGGCACTTTTATCCCTAGGAAACTTAATGGCGTGATAAAAAGAAGCCTACATGTAAATCCAGGCTGAAGATTATCTGTATACCAAATTTCACCCAAATCCGTAGAGAATAACTCACATCTAAACCTACAAACTTTATAATATAAAATTAGTAAGATATCGAGTGCACCAGACATGTATATTCTATTCACACTACCTAGCATATAGCAGACAACATACAGACATAAACCGCAGACAAACCGGTTACAGCCCGTGTTTGCGCGAATCTATTTATAGAAATATTTATCATCCACTATAGTCTTTTTTACATAGCATGAGTACGGTGACGTTTGGGATTTGAAGTTTTTAGTGACATGGTAGTAAAAAATATACATACAAAAACTCGATATTAGTGAGTCCATTTCTAATAGAGATAATCGATTTTGAGGTCAATGTAAAAATAGGATTTAAGAAAAATATTTATTCATCAAAAAATGAACCTCTGCCAGAAAAATACCATTTTATTAAAGTTGATTTTAATTATTACAACTATACTAAAAAAAAATACAAATGATTACCGTATATATATTACGAAACCATTTTATTGATTTAATCCCTATTAAAAAAATACGTCCCAATTTTCATTACAAATATTGATGTTTTAAATCTTAAGAGGGTGAGATTTCAGTAATGACTATTAAAACTTTGTATTTTAATATGTAATTTAAATAACTATCTAATATATAGACAGGTAAACTATTTTTTTATCGTTATAAAATGCTTTTAATTATTTGGATATTTAAACTGCGTGAATTGGATCTGTATCCAATATGAAACCTACTATAGATGTCGTTAATTTGATGTCATATCTTTAGTTTACTAAGAGTCTATAATAGGCTTGTGGCCTTTTTTCGTATTTCGTTACCGTAGCACTGTGTGACGTCACTTAGTGCCTTGAATTTATAGGGAGCGTTTTCGGCCAACTAGCCGCGGTTCCACAAACATAGCATCGTGTCTCAAAAACTATTAATCGTAGACATGCTGTTACTTCTACATTATTTCTCAGATATTAATGGTCTATTTATTTATAAAATAAAAAAGTTGTCAACTAGCCAATTAAAAAGACGTAATATTAATGTTATGATCGTGTCCTTATTCGATTTGCATAGTGGTCAACATATTGTTTTTTGTAATGAAAAGTCATGGTCAAAATATGCAAAATATAACTTTTTTGCTGTGAAATTATTAATCTGAGTTTGTGCACATTATTATTTTTTTTAATTATTAAGTGCGACGGTATGGTTTTTTAATTGAACATTTTCGTTTATCTTAGTGTGTCACAAGGTCATACATAGCCAGGGTTCAGAGTGATAATTATCTAGATAAATTATTATTATCTATACAAACTCTTTTTATACTTTTGGACTTGGCATCGTCTTTTAGTTTAAACAATTATGGATGCCTCTCTGTATTTTAAAAAATTGTTGCCAGTAACTACCGATAAATATCCAAAAAAGAAAATATCTTGATAATAACGAACTCTGCACGTAGCACATATTATAATACATACCTGAGATCCTAGTATCGTATGATTATTTTAAATCGTACAATCTAGTATTAAAATATGAATGGAATGATACCTGCTCCAAGGCTTTCCAAATATCTGCATCTGTGTATTTGTCAAACGGATCCATATTGTAGCGTAAACTAGCTGAGAATAGTACTGGTTCTTGAGGAATGATCGCTATCTTAGATCTTAATTCCTAAAAAATAAAAAAGATATTCATTGTTTATAATGTTGACAAAGTTCATTATAATTATTTAATTAGTAATTATTATAATATTAATTTAACCTTTAATGCGATTGAGCCTGTCTCGACATCGTCAATATACACGTGACCTTCGATGGGTGCCAACCGAAACAGAGCAGATATCAATGATGATTTACCAGCTCCTGTACGGCCAACTACTCCGACCTGTACGATAATAAGATAAAAAAAGAGTAAAAAATCATGTTTGTTATATGACTGTCTCCAGTTTCCTCGTTACCACGGCTGCTGTAACGTAGCCGAAACTTCGAGGTAAATTAATAGTTTTAAAACAATGCACGAACAAGACCCGATTACATATAATAGGGATGATGACTAATTTTTGTTTGTTTGTCCGTCAGGTAGAGTGTTAAAAAATATTAAACACGTATATTTTTATTTTTTTCGTTATCATAAAATTACGGCGTTACATGGAGTTGAAATTTCGCATGACGTCACGTTAGGGTACGTTTTCTACTCAACTGTGACGTAATGAGACCCCACTCCTCAACTTTAATGCCTGTTATCTAAGCTATTTCTGGTAAATTGAAGTAAAAAAAAAATACGTATCAAATATTTTTCTATTATCTGACTGACGGACTAAATAGAATTGCATTTTTTTACCCAGTCATCATGCCTATTATAATGTATACAAATCGTGTGTTTAAAAATATCATCATGTTTGTTGTATGGGAGACCTCCATAATTCTTTTTTCTGGTTTTTAGTATATGTTGTTGTTACGGCAACAGAAATACATCATCTGTGAAAATTTCAACTAAATTCCATGGTTTATGAGATACTAACTACAGCCTGGTGACGAACGGACAGACAGCGAAATCTTCTTAGTAATAAGGTTCCCGTTTTACCCTTTGGGTATGCAAACTAAAAAACGATGAATGCTTATGAGTTTAATCAATTAAGCAACTGTGAAAAAAAGGAGATCCTAAGTTCGACGCTAAATACGCGTGATTATACGAGATGCAAATTTCAAATGAAATTGTAAAAGATAGTGCTCTCCTAAAAGTTTACAAAATATACCTATACTGCCTAGACCAAGACTTTATACATGTCTATTAGGGGCATGCGTATCTCGTACTTACAACGATAATAAATGTAAAATATATGATGCCCAGATCAAGATCTTGTACACCATATTTTCACGTTGGTCACTGACCTCAATAGACGGCGAAAGGCAATTAGGGTTCGCCATAATTATTACGCCAATGAAGGGAAAAGAGATTGTGTATGATTCCACCAGTGCATAAAAAACAACAAATCAATCAACCTTACCTTCCAACCGCTTTCGATAACAATGTTAAGATCTTTCAGCACTGGTTCAGAGTCCACGTCGTACCGTAGCTTGAGGTCCTTAAACACTAGTTTGGCACGCTCCGGCCATCCTTTAGGGGGAGATGGTCCGTCATGTCTCTCCTGTGGTAGCGACGTGAACTGAATAACACGTTCTACACTCGTCATTTGAGATATCACTTCGGTGGCCTGTTTTACCCCGTAACCGACCATGTTCACGAGAATCAGAGCCTGACTGATTGCTAATCCAACGTTTCCAGATCGTGTGCTCCCTGTTATAAATAATTTGTAAGAATAATTAATTTTAATAAAAATTAAATCTTATCTAATAGTCAACAGCGGATTTATAACCAGGGTAAGTACGCTGTAGCCTACGGCTGTATAGGTAGTAGATTTTTTGTTTTAGTAGGACTGTCTGTTGTATTAATACGAGTAGAAATCTAAAGTTTAATATGTGTTTTCACAATTTGCATAGTCGAGTTTTATTGACCGCTTGTTAAAGATTAAGCCAAATTAACTGCATTACTCATTGAGATAAAGATGGGCAGTAAGTACAGTAGGACTGTGTTTATAAGTTATAACCAGTGGTCGGAATTAGGTAGAGTTATTCATGTACTTACACTGATTTCATACAGCGAAAGAATAAAGTGGATATGCCTCAAACCTCGAGATTAATTTTAAAGAGCAGAAGAAATCCCGTGATTTTTTTAATAAAAAGTTATTTACTTTTACACAATTATAACTACTGCACGCACGACGTTGCCAAACTTACATCAATGAAAGAAAGAAACAAAGAAAGAAGAAATAAAGAAATCCCGGGAAGGTCCACATTAATATCAACATTTTGATGCAAGTACATAAATAACTCTACCTAATTCCGACCTCTGGTTATAACGAAATACCTATATAAAACCATTTTTTAAAAGCGCGAAAAATTCTTAGCCTCTCGTTTGCACTAGCGCAGTTTTGTTTTGGGTTTTGGATTGAACGTGCGCGCTACGTTTCGATAGTCGCAATTTGTAAATACTACCAGTAAGATAAGGTCACTCTTTACGCATTATTTAATCTATTTTCAAATGTGTTTGCAATCATAACCCATTGGATTTAATTGTAGTAAGTCAGTTAAGGTGTACCAGAATATGATGTCAAAAAAAAAACAAAAGAAAAAAAAATACGATTTTCTTATGGCAATATAAATTGTTGTGAATATTTGATAAAATATTAATTTATTTTTGTGAAAATGACCAAAGCAACATTTCTCAAGCGAGAAATATTGTTTATAGCAAAATTTGTGTAAAGAAGCTGAATATCAGCGATGTTTTTCTTTTAATTTTAAAGTGTGTTTATGAATCGATAGGTAACTACCAATGACGAGTATTGATCCATGTCCCACACAAATGGCTAATCTATGTCAAAATAGTAAAATGATCAGGACTACGATCAATGCTAAGAGGTAGTTATTGAAAAGTGTTTATAATAACAAAAATATCACAAGTATCAAGATATATTTATCCTCATTCTCAAATGTTGCCTTCTAGAAATTAAAATTTCCCGATTTGCCATCAGATTCTGATACACCTATACTCTAAATAGAACGATAGTATAGAAATCATAGAATTAAATTGAATTGTAGCGATCAGTGCGGTGATAGTATACAAATCATAAAGGTATCGAATTGTAGAATGTAAAGGTCGGTAAGGACGGTAAATCTTCAATACATAACCTACTTGCGGCAAATAACTCCTCCACTGTATAAATCTGATATTAAACTCACCGTCATCCATTAATAGAAACGTGTACGAAACCACAATAACATAAGAAGCACATATGAGATTCAACCAAATGGAGAAACAAGTATTCGAGATTAGAGTCAAGTACCTGGAACAAAAAAAAACCTGTAATGAAATTTATTATATTGTACAACCATAATTTCTTTTTTAACTATAAGCGTAAACCTAATAAGCTATGAAAAAACTTTTTTAAACATATAGATGGCTATTTGATCTAACTTTTATGAAATACGTAGACATTAATAAGGTCGACATAATACGTCGAGCTTTACGCTCTCTTATAATAAGAACGCAAAGCTGCAAAACAAATAAGAAAAAGTTTTACTTTTAACATCATAATATCAGTTCTAATATAGTTTCAAATCAAATCAAATCATTTATTTTATGTCACATTAAAATTATAAGATGGTAATTATTTTGTTGCTCGTGTACATGTGACGCCCTGTAAGGGCATATCAATGTTACAATACAATTATGGAAGATTGCAAAAATACAAATACCTTACATTAAATAATATTAGAAATAATATGTCAATGTCAAACTTATAACTTAGGACGTTATATTTATTATGTTTATCAAATGTTCTATTTTATTCTTTCTTAATCATGAATTAACAAATAAAATGTGTTCAATGTGATAATTTATCTATATAACTCACCAAGCAGCAGTGTGCACGTCCTGTTTGTCGTCAAATTGTTTAATAAGCATTTCTTGAGCACCAAATGCTCTCACCGATACCAAGCCCGATATACTGGCGGAGACGTGGGAGAACACAGGACTGCGAGAAGTGCCTTCAACTCTATACAAATAATATTAATTATTGTTATATACGACTTTTATTGTTATTTATGTGATAATTTGAATTAAATCGCTTCTCAGTCTTTTAAATAAATATTTTAAAAAGGCTATGTTTTCCTGTAATCGACAGCTATAAAAATATTTTCTATTCAAAATTATAGTCCCAGTAATTTCGGGGATCAGAAATAAGCCCCAAAAAGATGGCGCCATGTTTCAAATGAATTTGTATACGTTTGTTATATAGCGGCCTTTGGGTCACCGACTAACATGTTAATTTCAATTCAATCGGTCTAGCAGTTTAACAGAAGATTGACCGTAACAGGCCACGGAGCAATTATATAAGGGTTCCATTATTCTTTCTTAATACGGAACCCTAAAGAAATCAGTAATGGACAATGTGAGCACTCTCTCGGAAAATGACTAACGACTAATGATAAACAGCTATAAAATAATCCTGGGAATATAAACTAGGAAGAATCTTTTGACGACAAGGGAAATCCTTCGTAGCTTATATTAGCATAATTAAATTTATCATCATCAAATCAAAAATCATCATTAATGACAATATATTACTGATGAAATCGAAATTAGTATTTGAGTTAACATTTACGGATATTACGCAATCGATAGATTGCAGCTTACGTTGGTCACAATAAATCACTTGTCTGCGTATCGGTAAGCACCCTGTTAGACGATAACATGAATCAGAAGACCAAAACAATAATTATTGCTGCGTTTTAGCTGATAATATTTGGTTTACACATTACATTTGACATTTTGGTAAGTAAGTAAGTATACGCAAGTAATACATAAAAGTAAATTTGCACATTACGATATCGTACCTACTTGCGAGCGTCAACAGAGTGCATTAATTAAATGGTGAGCTTATAAAACCATAATAAAGCAAATAAATATAACTATATTCGCATTCGGCGAAGAGGTTTTTATTACTATCAATGTCTGTCGTGTCGAGTGTGATTCATGTGTACATGCAATGTCTCTTACGCGACGCAACAAATAACCGTAATCGCTTGAGGACTGTTAACAGATAATTGTGTATCCAGGGCACGATCTAGTTATTTAGCAGCTCCCAGCAAAAATAATATTTGTCACACTTTATGCTTACATCAACTATCATTGTTATGTACTCAGCAATGAAATTTTTAAGGATGAAAAATGTTGGATTTCAAAGAACTATGTGACTTTGTTGGAAGTTTGGTGTAGTGGGGTTTATACTTTTCCAAAACACTGAGCATAATAATAATTATAATTATGATATTTCGCTCTAATGAGAAATCTCAGGACTTCGTACGATACCCCGGTCTTTTATTTTGCCGCCCCTTTTTTGCCGCACTGTGCAATTGCCCGGCTTGCCCGCCCTTAGATCGGGCCCTGTGTATATCAGTCACGCAATACATTTAATTGAACCAATAATACAATTCGACATAGTACATATAGATCTTGTTTCAGATATCTCAGTTTCAAACCTTTATCTATACTAATATTATAAAGAAGAAATATTTTAAGGAAGTTACATAAGTTATATAAATTCCAATTCTAGCACATTGCCTCTAGACATTTTAATATATTATTGTTTCGACCTTTTCAGGTACTAGGGTACTTAATAACAAATATAACTACATTTTGAAATTTACTAACCTTTTAATAGATTGTGCTGTGCTAAGGTAGATCATTGTCCAAAAGTACATGATAATAGCGCAGACTGCTGTCGTTACCAACATGAGAGGGTTGACTATAGCCACCATTACCAATATACCCAACATTACGAAGCACACCTAAGAAATAAAAAAAAAAGTATAATTTTAAAATGGAAAATATATGATTGACAACCTTGATAACCGAATTTCTTGCACGCCCAGCAGGCCAATTCTGCTAATGAAATGAAATGAAGATATCTTTATTCAAGTAGGCTTATTACAAGCACTATTTAATCGTCCAAAAAAAAAAAAATTCCCCTACCATTTGTTCAGGACGTCTTTTAGTTGACAAGAAGAACAAGCGAAAGAAACTTACTAGCTCTTTATCATAAGTAATGACATTTACATAAATCATGAATCATTATATACCAAAATAATATGTATTATCACAATAATAAATACAACTTTCAAAGTCTGTAGGTTGCATAGGTTGTACATATAATTAGTCGTTATAGAACAAAGCGAAGGCTATTAATTCCATGCATTGCGATCCTTAAAATAATCATCAACTTTATAATAGCCTTTACTCATAAGTATGTATTTACATGAATTTTAAATTTATTTATGAGTAGGTCAATTATATTTTGAGGTACTTTATTGAACATAGCAAGACCCATTTACCCAGAAATGATCCTTTGGTTTTCTGAAGTCTGAAGCTTGGAACGGCAAGTTTATTTTTATTTCTTGTGTTAAGATTATGAACACTACATTTTTTTGTGAAGGAATCTTAATGCGTACATAATATATTCATAGATAAAAAATTTTACGTAATAATCGCATCTCGATAGAATCTCAAGGCTTGCATTTTACCATTTTACTATCTATCTAAAGTCGAATATTATTAGTGCTATGTCTTCCTCATACATCGATTGAGACAGATATATAATATTGGACTTCAGGTAGATAGTACATGGGCAAAATGCGAGTAGTTGTGATTCTATTGACATGCTATTATTACGTAAACGTTAGCAGCATTGGCCTATTGGTTTCAGGGTGTCGTCTTTGTTTATTATAATAGGGAAATAGAGGTTGTCCCTTGATTAACTGTGTTCAATTTTGTGAAAAAATATTTAAAAAATATATATAAATGAACTTATCATAATGTCTATAACTCGGTCCTTGTCACTTTAACAAGGTATATAGTCCATCGTATTAGGTGTATTTCCTTGTTTAACTAATCTAAATCTCATATAGCGTGTTTATCTGAACCGGTTCCAAAAGATACTTTGAATGTTTTTTTTTAGCCGATAACAGTTAATAATATTTTCACAGATCAATATGAGTTTCAGCAATATTATTGGCGATCATTTTGTTTACAATTCATTCATACCTGAATACTATCCAAATACATTCTTGGCAACATTTCGTCAACTATACCCATGTCCTTTGAGAATCTATTTAATATTCGACCTGAAGCATTGGTATCGAAGAACCTCATAGTAGCACCTAGTATATTGCCGAACATTTGATTATGTAGCTTTATAGAGCTGCGCATACACACCCACAAGAATAAAACCGATCTGAAACCAAAGAAAGCGTGAACATTTGAGTAACAAATTTTTTAATACCAAATGTAAATAAACGTGTGCCAAAAGCACACAGAAACATACAGAAGTTAGAGTTGCGCCGAATATTCGTTTGGTATTCGGCATCTTTTTCACTTTAGATAGTTATTAACTATAATTATAATGTAAAGGACTATGAAAACTTAAAACTTTCTTTCTCACTATTTGTATTGGGCACGGTACGGTACTAAAAGACAAAACTACTTTTATAGATTTTTATTATATTTTAAGTTAAAGTAATCTTATGAATAATGTGTTCAAAAAAGCCATTAATATAAAGCAATCAAACTTTAAATCGACATTTGTTTTTAAAGCTGTTTATATGGCAAAAGAATGAAATATCCGGTTCGGTAAAGGTTACGCCGAATAGTATTCGGTTATTCTGTGAATCCACTATTCGGCACATCTCTAATAGAAATAAATCAATGTAAATGAACCAAAAATCAATTACCTCCATGTAGTAAGTAAAATACAACCAACGATTGTAATAGCCCATATGTAAATGTAGTATGAATCATCAATGTATTCACCATAAGGCACAAACTCTTGTATAGTCTTTGCAGTCTTCAATATGGTGCCTATCACAGTCATATTTATGTTATTTTCTGTAGTGATCTCTGGTATCTCAGAAGTTATTGTGTCAGTTTCATTAAAGTCATTAATTGCCTTAAATAGAGTCGAGTTCATGCCGTCTCTTGCTTCAGCTTCGACCGAGTTATATGATTCTACATCGTTCATCCTGTATTATAAGAAATATTTTTATTTTTTAACAAATTTTACATTGACAATCTTAACAATAATATTAACAAAAATCTTATAAAAAATACAAAATATATTCTTAGTATAAAAGAAATTCGCCTCCCTCTGTCTGTACGCTGACATCTTGTAAACTACACAACGTATTCTAACACGGTTTTAAAGAGGAAGGTTTATTCATATGTAAAGTATAAAAGAGGACCTCGCGGGCGAAAGCTAGCGGGTCCGTTGGCTGAAAGCTAGTAAATAACAAAGCATGTTCCATTCTCGCAGTTTATTATAAAGTATTCGCAACTCAACATACGACATTAGAAGCAATCATTTTCATAAATTTTAATTTGGTCGCAAATGCGCGCTATGTACTGTTACACCCAGTGGGTTGGTGGGTTGTGTAGTTAGTGAACTACACGAATATTTCTGATTTAGGGACAACAAACTTTTACCAATTAGCATTTGTTGATTTTTATCATCAGCAATATTTGTGTATAAAAACTAGCAATTTTAACAATTTCGTCAGTCTTTGTTCTGATTGTGGAATTGCTGCCCAACCACGGACCCGGTTTCTGCCTGCTGGATGGCTTTCAGCAAAGAAACTAAGAACAAGTCTCCGCGACGCGAAATCTTTAATCGTCAATAACATAAGAAGAAGTGGTAAAGGCAAAAGTAACATTAATCGTTATCATAAATAATTATTATTATTTAAAAATAAAAACAAGTTTTTTTTTTCAAACAAATTTCGTGCAAGGTGTTTACAGTACGTTGAGTGCATCGTGAATCCGTAATGTGCTCGTTGTTCCCACTAATTGTCGGTTTTTTCGATCAACACCTTGAGTACGCGAAGTGTTGTGTAATATTTATTTATTAAAAAAAATTAAAGCGTATAGTAGGCAGATAAATATAAATGAATTTCTAGAACACAGCGGGTTCAGAGTTCACTCTGACCGAAATATGACCTTAGATGTTTCAATATGACCCTAGATAAATATCGACAACAGAAGTATCAATTAACGGAAGGAACAAGTCGTAGTTTTTTAAGAGAGCATTTTCCTTTTCTTTACATTACTAAAGAGTAAAAACGGAATCCGATTACCAAGACCAGTCTGTCACCAGGCTGTACCCCGTGAACCGTTATATCTAGACAATTAATATTGTCACAGATCAGATGTATTTCTGTTGTAATTGTAACAACATATATCAAAACACAATAAAATAAATATTTAAATGGGATCCGTACAACAAACGTGATGTTTTGCCGTTTTTTATAGATAATGGTGCGGAACCCTTCATGCGCGCTTTCGACTCCCACTTGGCCGGTTTTTTTTCATTATTTGCGTCAGTGCTTGTATATACTACTTACATATATTAAAATACTAACTTCACTCACATACCCACACTTAGACGAAATATAAAATATCTTACCAACGTGTCAGCCACAGATCACCAGCAGATGTGACCACCTGTGCTATGACGATTGACACAATTGTCAACGTGAGCAACCACCAGTTCCCTCCAGCACGGAAGTATTGTCGATATACGGTTCCACGCACGCGTCCTGAAAATATATATCTTTGAGGTTTGGCTGTGAAGTTGTGTCATGGGCTGACAACCTAAATTAAGATCCTAAAAACCTGAAACTTATAATCATCGCAATCCGACGTCTAGTTTGCGAGATATATGTGGACAACCATAATACATATATAAAATTTTGCACACGTTTTCAGCTCATACAGACCAACATACATGAATATTGCGCCATTCCAACGAATGTACATATATACAAACCTCCTTTTTTTAAGTCAGTTAAAACGAAGAAATGCATGTATGTAATTCCGCCTACGTATATAAATACTATTTTAGAACTATGCGGCGTTTAAAATTTACCGTATTAAAGCAATTGCTAATCTGACTAATTTAGAAATTAATCTATAAGGCTGATTGAATTAAAAACATTAAGGGATTATTCTACGTACCAAAAAAAAATCGATTGTTTAATTACTATATAAGATAATAAAAAATTTAATCTTTCCTTTTTGTAATAAAGGTATGTACTTTTTCGCAATTAAATATCCGTTAGTCCTCGATTGTTTGAAATACATTATTCATTAAATTGCTCTTATATACGTAAACATTATAACGACAAAACTAAATATTCAGATATTCTCAAACTCCGGAATAATTTTAAAAAGGGTTTTTTTCCTACTCATTCTAGAAATAATTCTCTATCGTCTATCGTTAGTTTCAACAATGTGCAAGGTAACGCAGAAATAGCCGAACTCTCAAAGATAATTGCCCATTCTTCTTTAAAAAGTGAAAAATAATACTTATCTTAAAAGCGGTTAAATGTTTAAGAAACATTGTAACCGGGCGGTTAATATTAAATTAACTACAGAAAACTTCAGCCCTTTTTTAGTTTTTATTTCATGCATTTTAGTGATATTTTGAGTTTTGAGGTAACAAACATCACACATACTTAGGTAATGCAAATTTCAGACTTATATGGTTTCCTCATGGAATCCATCGCCAGATACGGACCAAAATGGGACCACACGGCAAGCCCTTGCTTTCAGATAAATAAAGAATCATCAAAATCGGTAAGTTATGAGGTAACAAAAAAAACAAATACATTCGAATTGAGAACCACCTCCTCCTTTTTTTTGAAGTCGATTAAAAATAATAATCAAGGCGAAATCAACAGGCCATCTATGGGACAGATTAAGTGTTAAAATCAAAGGACAGATAAACTTTTCAATTTATTAATTGATTATTTGCAAGATATGTATCGCAAACAATTACGATTGCATATCGATTATAATTTTTTACGAATGTTTAAGCTATATAGTGACTAGCACTTTTTGTCAATATTTATTACAAATTCAATAAATTTTGAATAATGAAACATTCATAATCAATTTGTAGTCAGTATATGGTTGTATAACAAAGCAGCTTATGCTATAAGTAATTAAGTCTAGCGCAGAAGTCAGTAGTCTAGGTACGTTTTTCCTCATTGCTATAATATCACACAGGGCATATTAACAAGAAATATGCGGCAATATGCCAATTATTAATATAACTTATAACGGTAGGTACTGTGGATGATGATATTTTATGCAAACAAATAAAAAAAAATAGAACCGAATTCAAACTTTAAAAAATGTGAAAAATAATACTAATTTTAAAAGCGACTTATTTAAGAAAATGTTATTAAAGTCGAGCAAAAGTTTTCTGTAAGTTATTCATTAAATGATAGGCGCCCGACTCTTTTTTTAAATTTGAAGTCAATTCTATTTTTTTTTTAATTTTATTTCATGCTTTTTAGTGATATTTATACGGTAACACTAAAAATACATTTTCTAAAAACCGCGTCAAAACTGTGTTCAACTGTGAACCTCCAATTTTTTGTCGGTTCATAATCACAAAAATCGGTTCAGCCAAACGCGAGACAATCGCGCACAAACATACATACATACGTTAAGGTCAAACTGAGAACCTTCTTTTTTTTCTTATTTAGGTGTTGTTTTGGAAATGTTAAATCTTACGTTCTTGTTACTTGTTACGGTCATGAAGACATTTCACTTGAAACTCATATAGTAGGGGTTGATACGTTACTCGTGTACGGTATTCATGAGTTCGAAACGGAAATACATAATTAAGCTTGATAACACATTCAACTTAAAAAGGTTATGTAACAAAGAGATAAAAACTATAAACTGTAACAAAGAGATAAAAACTATTTTCCTAAATGTAAGTATAAAAAAAATCTATACAAATATTTTAAAAAAGTAAAGTTTCTTACATCGTTTGTGGGGGGTGTAGCCTTTAGAAATACTGATCCGATCATGTAAATTCTTTCACCTACGCCATACTACATTCATACTCCCGCGTATGAATGTACGAGTAGTATGCCGTAACATACTACAGGCTATAATTTATGCGAGTGAAATGGCGGGCAAACAACTAGTATAAAATACAGTAGTTCGTTTTATTAATTACTCGATGTTTTCCCGCGACATTGTCCCGCGTACCCACGTATAGGTAATGTAGTTTCCAATAGGTAATTTTTTTTAATAAATCTTGCAGTTTCAGAGCCTATTCGATACAAACATATAAACCATCAAATCTTTCCTCGATAATATATTATTACAGATAAAAAAGTTTCAATGTAAAAACCTAGAATAAGGTGGACGGTATCGATGGCATGACGCGCTGCTACTATCAATCAGTAGAGGTTAAATGGTTCAATATTAACTATCAATATTAGGCCCCACACCATTTAAGTAATTAACCGAACAATTTAAATAAAACTTAACAAACTAATTGCTTGAAACACGATTGAGATGCAGTCGTTAGGCAAAGCAGAATCAAAACCATACACGTGAATTTGGTGAAAAACATAACGATATAACTTCGTCTCGCTTTAAGCAAATAAAACCCTGTTCACACGGCCATGAAGGCAAAACTGCTGGGAAGGCTTGTCGTTGTACGAGTTATACGAAGATATTTAATATTTAACATTTATCACTACAGAGAACAGCACTGAACAGCCGGAACGAAATAAAATGATAAAGTCCACATTTGTCGTAATTTCGAAATTGGTATTCTAATACTAACTATGTCTAAACATACAAGTTTAATAGAGATGACGCTTGATTAAAAATCGTCGCTATGTATTTTTTGCTTCAATTTAACAAGATAAAACTTAGGTAATAGGCACTAAAGTTGATGAGTGGGGTGTCGCTACGTCACAGCTATGTAGAAAATATACAATGGTGGCATATGACATTTCAACTCAAAGTAACTCTGGAATTGATAGATTACGCAAAAAATAAAAATAATCTACCTGAGGGACATACAAAAAATTAATTATTCATCATCCCTATTACTCTTTCCCAAAAGAGAACTTTATAATTCTAATATATTTTATTTTATTAAGATGTACAAAACAGGTGACTACCGGGTGAAAATACAAATTAAAAGAATGTTTTACAGTTATTTATGTTTCACATGTAGAAACATGCTGCAAAAGGCATACTAAACAAAAACATGCATATAGTATACAGCGTTCAGAGTGATAACTTATTTTGATAATTAGAAAACATTACACAAACGTATTTTAGGACTTATTATTAAAGGGGAATCATTTTAATCAACTACCAAATGTAAATTTCTCTTATAGAAAAAATTGTCTATGACCTACAAAAGAATAATAGTCATCTCTCTAAGTGGAACATAAGATAAATTAAATAAAGCTACGTTGCTGACGTTTGACCTAAAATTCATAACACGTGAAACGACTACACAAGTACTGCAGTGTAAGACTGTACAGACTCACTTAATTTACTACAAAGCCTCCTTTTCAGAAGACTTTACTGATAAGTTTATAAACCTTCTTAGAAGGCTTTATAGTAAATTATGTAAGTACCAACAACATACAACTATTTCGACATCCATTGTGCTCTCAGATCTGAATGCCACTAGACAAGGACTTGAATTGGGTCTCTGGTTTTTTTGTCGGATCAAATATATATAATAATGTTGCATACCTTGTCCGACAAGTTCTTCATCTTCCGTCGGCTGTTCTTCATCACCTAATCCTGCTTCGTTGAGAGTAGAAACACTCGCATGTGACTGCAAAAAATATCCATTATTGTAATAACTCTACAAAGAAAATTATACTGCACTAACTACTTCGTCAGAGGTAATGCATGTTATCAAATATTACGAGTATAATACTTGAACAAGCTGCATTATCACAGGTTTACGGATTCTTAATATGTGGCATGGTGAATGTTTGTCATACATTAATACAAACAAAGAAAATATTAAGTCTGTAAATCTGATATAATATCTTATTTACAGCGGCTATGCCATTATCGTTACGTATTTAAAGAAGAACCGGAGATCTGGGGAATGCTCAATTTTCGCCTATGTTATTAAATTACTACAAAACTATTCATTATATCAGGATAAAGAAAATAGATAGGTATTTGAGATATTCGTAATATACTCGTACTTTTTAATTCAATATGTCACATAATATAGTTTGCAAAACGCCTTTTTAATTTTCTAATTTACCGCCATGTTTTTAATTAATTTATTTACGTTATACGGCCTTATTTACGTTAATCGGTCTAGTAGTTTCGGAGAAAAATAGATGCGCGGACAGATAGACAACTAAGTAATCCCATTAGGCTTCCGATTTCCCTTTTCATACGATAACGGAACCCTATAATGAGGAATATCCATGGTTCCGTCAAATCACTTGAAACTTCGTGTCCGTGTATTTTATTAATTTATTTGGAAAAGGTACACACACACTGTGTATATATGATACATTGAAAATTAATACTTCTCACAGCAACGGAAAAGTGTAGCATTCCGAGCCACGTTCGTCCTGATTGTAGGTAGTGCAAAAGTTCTATGTAAAGGCTGGCAAGGGATACCCGAGGGAACATTTAGTGAGACACTTTCGACGAGATGGTTGCATAGGCTTATCAATGGATCACTAAATTGTGGTGATCCATTGATAAGCCTATGCAGAAACGATAGATCACGGATAGTTCGCCGTTGTTGCAGAGAGCGGATGTTGAAGAACAATAATCTGCGGTCATAAGGAGCTCTGTACGATATACCAGGTGACACAAATGCGAGATATCTAGTTAATGAGCTTTGGAATGGATTCAATACGTTAAGATTGAATTTCATAAATAGGATTCTATGTTACACTGGCATATTCCAGTAAGCTCCTAACTATAGCGTTGTAAAGTATAATTCTAACCAGGCCGTAATAGATTTCATAAAAATCAAGTAAGTCAGGATTGTTTTGAATTCTGCCTAACGCGCCGCACTCGCAGTACTGAGTCAATCATACATTGTACTGGTTTTTTGACGACAATAACAAAACTTAAGTCGTGTGTTTTCCATGTGATAGTGCTAAAGCACAGTATACGAAAAATTATGTATTGGGTAATTACATATTTTTAGAAACAGGGTCCTGGTTTTTAACCTATTGGATACGGAACCGTGACAATCTTCTCAGGATTCAACATTGTTATTCTAAAGAACAAAGAAAGATCTACAACCTCTGATAATGAGGTAGTAAAATAAATTAGATAAACTGGGTTAAGGCTACAAGGATTAGTATCTAAAGTGGTCACCTTGGTTATACTGACATAACTACCTGAATGTATTGTCAATGTTACCTCATCCATCCAACCGTGGGACGGATTTTATTTAACGCGAAGAAGTAACACTCTCTAATACGTTCTGACTTAACAGATTTAAAAAAAAAATGAATAAAGTAACGACTCTTTATAGTCAAAATTATAAGCTATCAATAGTTCTTATTTCATTCAAATTCTCGTCTAATGGTAAAAAATATCTGCTTAAATTATGACATATTCTCAAGTTATTACGTCTCTCGACAATAGATACGAGTGAAGTATTAAATAATCAATAGAAATAAATATTTAAGAAATATCTAAATATGAATGTCGGGCCGTCATAAACATGACTTGTTGAATTATATTTTATATATTATTATATGTGTGCTGAATTCAAAAATACAAATAAAAATTTAAGTTTATTAATTTGTATTGAGTGATTCAAAATTAATGAACTTAAAGTACAATAAAGTTAGGACTGCCGCATAAAATTGTGTGCCCTGGTCGCGTAGCATGACGACTGGAACGCAAATTGTGTGTACCTCTAGAAACTCTACTCTGTCTATGAGTTGTATTGACATACAGTTAAACGTGTTCGCGAGAATCATGGACTGCATGATGATAATAGACTTTTATCTCCTCTTGATAATACAATAAGATTAGAATATTTCTCGAGTTTGTCATGCTCACATTGTGAATTTGAGATATATTGAATAGAGACAAAACGATTCTAGGGTTTGTCATACTACACGGATTGAAATCAATTTCGCTAGACGTTAGAACCTCGAGTAGTTAGGTCAAGTAATTAATCCTCTAATCGGCTGGCAAACAGGGCATCAGCGAAGAGCACTCGCCAGTAGCCAAACGAGTCGGCTGACAGCTAAGTCTGTTCCCGAGCGTCTGTCTTCTAAATTTCCTTTAACACAGTTGAAATATCCTCCAACGTAGGCCACCGCCGTCCGGTTAAGTGGGGAATTCACTGCCCGCGGACAAGTTTGCAGACATGGACATGTGTGGGACCGCCGCTGTTATTACACAAACCAAGGACAGGCTAACGCGGGCATATCTACAGACTTGCCCGCTGGCATGCTCGTCTAGTGCATAGCATTTACACTAAGCCAGTAGTGCCAATAAGCCAGTCTAGTATCTATTATATAATCTATATTACAAAATCATTAGGTAACCATTCTATTTCATTGGACTGGCTTGATAAATGGCTTGAGGACAGCCCAATGTACTGGATTGTCTTCGTTTACACGAGACCAATACTGACCTTGCTTACTGGACTGTCTTGGCCACTGAATCTGTAGTTTGTATGTTATAACATTTATTCATTATACATTATTCATCATGTCATCGTGCTGAATCGCAAACGGTACTCAATGACAGAGGTTGTTATTACGTAGCTTTGGTGTATTTAAAGATGCCGTGTCATCCTTATTTGCGTTCAAACTACTACTGGCTCGATATAATAAAGTAGTTTTGTGCCTACATCTCACTCTTTGCAAAGTTAAGGTTATAGTTTATTATACAGAAAATATATCATTTATCTTAATCTAAATATTATAAAAGTAGTCAATAAACTAAATCTAGATCTCTTCTCGTTCTATAAAAATATATTTGTGCGTCGGTTTACCTAGAAATTAATATTACCTATCTTTATATGCATTTCTGACATAATTTCGGATAATTGATCACTGAGAAGCACATATTTCTGGTAGCAGTACCATCATGAACTACATACTAACATACATAAATACATTTAGTACGCCTTCTCAACTGAAAAAATGACAAGTTTTAATATTTGATTTATAAAAACAAGTAAGCGCTGCATGTGAAAATATTATTATAACGCATTCAAATGTAAAAGCTGACTTTTGTATGCAGTAAATATAAAAAAAATACACTGATCTATACTACATCTGTTGCAAAAAAGATTTTCCTACCCTACACGCTTGTATGTTTTGCTAACTACATACAATAAGTACCTACTAATTTCACAAATATAAATTTGTGATGATTTTTAATTTCCACGAAACCTATAGAAAATTAAACAGATTTTCAAATGATATTCATATTTACAGCTCCAGTTCACACTTCGCACAAATATCGCAAGTATATATTTAAAAACTAAATATTATTTCAGACAGAACAGCTAATAATTACCTAATAGTATATTAAATACACAATGGTACATTAATTTGCATAACGAACTGTCATGCCTCAAGATTATAGTTCAGAGCTGAATGTATAATAAATATTCTTAAACAAAAGTAATGAATACAACATGTCTTCATACTGATGATCCAACGATGGAATAAAATTAATTTGTATTCTGTTGAATTATCCAGAAGTGACTAAATTGGTTCTGAATTCTTTTATGCGAAATGATATCTTTGAGATAAGATCTTTAAGATAAAAAAAGATTATACGTTATCTTACGTCGAGTTTGAAGTGCATAAATCTATTATTAGCGATAATGACAAATGCCACAATTACAGATTAAAGCTGCACTTGGGGATGCAGAAAAAAGGCTGATTCATTAATAAATAGGTATATTGAAAAATAGTGGTCACAAATGCGGCCCTTGGGGTACTTTCGATGACCTAAAAGCAATAGAAATAGAATCAATCTATTTTGACCTTAAAAGAACGACCAAGAATGTAAGAGAGACACAAAATATGAATGTTGCCAAAAGTACCATGCTGATATAATTGTGAATTAGTATTTTTAACCTGACTGACATTAATGACAGAAATGAAAGATTAAAAAGCTTTGGGTGATGCGCGAATTTGAGTAACTTATATTATGTAATAATAGTTATATTAACTATCCAACTAACGATTTTTTAGGTCTATCATTTCGTTACGTTTGCTTTTAGCCTATCGTGTACGTCAATTAGGTTAAAAAAGGGAAAAACTATAAATAGTATTCAGAGAGAGAGAGAGCACAGAAGAGAGAGAGAGCTCAGAAGAGAGAGAGTAACATTAAACACAATATGAAAATTTGAAGCAGATTTATGTAATCTTGGAAAAATTACGTACTAGGGATCAGCGAATAGTCATACATTAACACCCCCAAAAACCCTAATAGAAGAACTTTTATCTGGCGCTATCTACTATTAAAACGACTATTACATTAAATTCATTTTGTATGGCACTTTTGTATATAACACTTTAATTGGGTCCAATGTGTATTGAGTCGCTTCCGAAATTAAGTAAGAAATGCATAAAGATAGGTATATTGATTTCTAGGTAAACCGTCGCACAAACATATTTTTTAGAACGAGTAGAGATCCAGATTAAATCTTTTATCAAAAGAAACATTGTTACCAGTTGTTTATTGAGCACAACTATAATATTTATATTAAGATAAATATTATCTATTCTGTATAATAAACTAGAAGCATTACTTTACAAAGAGTAAGATGTAAGCACAAAACTAATTTATTATATCGAGTCAGTAGTAGTTTAAACGCAAATAAGGATGGATGACACGGCATTTTTAAATACATCTTCTTTCATTGAGTACCGTCTGCGATTCAGCACAATGACATGTTGAATAATGTATTATGTACTTACCTATAAATTACTTAAAAATAATTATGTTATAACATACAAACTACAAATACTACAGTTTAAATTATTAGTTACAATTCAACAAGTATTAAAAAGCATGGTATTACATATTTTTAAAATAAGTATATAATAAAAATATAACTTCTCCATTATGAAATTAGGTTTGTTTATATAATTTATAAATGGTTTAAAATAATATTAGTGTTATAAAAGAGTCATAGAGTTTCTGGAAGGATTCGTAAGTGTAATACGTCATTTACAATTCTGCCAATGTAACATACGCAAGTTAAATAAAAAAGTTAGATTACGTACAATATGCTACCGTCATGTCGTAAACTATAATTTTAAAGTACCGTATCAACAGTTATGAGATGTACACAAACACACACTATCAATTGAAGCTTCCTCGCCGTAATAAAACAGCTACTGGATGAGTCTTGATCATATTAACGATTTGTGTATGTATCAATAATAGTTTATATTATGACCGTACCAGTTATAACTGGTAAAGCTGTACCATGTGCAGTAGTAACAATTACGTAATTCCGACTTCACTACATAGTATAAAATGCTTTCTCTGTCTCTATATCCATATGTATGCTTAAATCTTTAAAACTACGCAACGGATTTTGATGCTGTTTTTTTTTCGTAGATAGGGTGATTCAAAAGGAAGGTTTTTATGTATAATACAAGACTAGGTGGGCGAAGCCGCTGACGGAAAGCTAGTGACCAATAAACGCTAAACAGAAACACACACCATTTCTTTTTTAAACAGATAGATATAAAAAAAAAACCTATTACAATATAAATGCTAATAAAGCCTAACATGTAATAACTCAAACCTGGATTGAGGTGGTTCGTTGCCGCAGCGTCTGAGGCCGGCCAGTTTCCTCCGATGGTTGTTCTTCCTCTAATAACTCTTCAAACAAAGCTGAAGTAGACACTTCCTCGAAGGTGCCTTCTTTCTCAATTTCTCCCTTGAATAATAATAAAGGAGTTAGAAGATTTCAAAAAAGATGAAGGTCGTTTTTATTGTTCCGTAGTAAACAAGGAACCCTTATAGTTTCGCCATGTCCGTCTGCATGTCCGTCCGTGTGCGGGTCAGAGCAAAAATTATTGGTACTAGAAAGTTTTAATTTGGGATGTGTATACATGTTAATTACCCCAACAAAGGGGTAAAATAAAAATTATAGCGTACCTCCCCTATATATGAAGTGGGGATGATATAATTTTTATTCGTTTTCTCCATAGTGTGGGGCGTCGTTGGAAAGTTCTTTTAAAAACATTGGGGGTGTGGGAAAGCCGTTTTTCGATTTAGTTAATATTTTGTAATTTATTAAGCTTTAAAAAGCTAATTTTCTTTAGAGTTGAGTTGACTAATTGTGTTTAACTCGAAAATTTCGAACAACTCCGTAGAATACAACAAACGTGATTCGCAAACCCCTTCTTGGTGTCTGAGATGCCCAATCTACACAACATCTATGCAAAAGCCATTGATTTAATTAGGTGTAGCTTTTTCTCGCAGCCAACAAACCTTTTAATATCAATTCTTGATAGTTTGAAAAATAATATTTATTTGTTATATTTCGAAGTAGCTCGGTGGCGTAGCGGATAAGCGCCGCGGCCCGCGATCGTTGTTGTTAAGCAACTTTCGCGAGGGTCGGTCACGGGATGGGTGACCAAAAAATTATTATCTCGAGCTACTTCGTCCTTCGGGAAGCAAGTTAAGCCGTTGGTCCCGGCTGCATTTGCAGTCGTTAATACCCTCCAATCCGCATTGGGCCAGCGTGGAGGGTCATGGCCCATCCTCCTTAACCATCCATAAGGGAGGCCTGAGCCCCTGCAGTGGGGACGTAAAAGTGCTGATGATGATGATGATTATATTTCATTAATTTTGCATTCAGAATGCTATACTAAAAAATATACTAATTAATTTCCCATCCTCACCCCATCTCAGAGTGCCAGATACAAAGTGGATTTTTTAAGCATTTTCCATTAAGAATAAGAATATTTATGCTAACTAAAGGTGACTTTTCATTTTTATCATCAAACATTTCTAAGCAAATACGCGGTGTGTATGACGCGAATTTGCAAATATTATTATCTGTATACTTTATACTTATATAATGTAAATTGCTGTTTAAGCGATAGTTCACAAAATTTACTTTAGAATTACATATTAATTTATAACCATGACCTTGATGTTTTTAACGATATTCATATCGTTAATGTATAATATCAGATTTGGAACGGTTCTGCTACAAATGCCACCATAGTTTCGCACGAAACGAAATCATTTATTTCGTCGTGTACTTCTTTAAAACAATACGTAACTTTTAATTTCAGGTTGTTGTTAGTTAATTACAGAATTTCAAACGAAGTTTGCCGGAACAATAACCAGATATAGTCGAGTAAAAAACTAACTTTTCTATATCGTCTCCGGTGTACCCACACCGGTAGGATAGGTCACTTCGTTGTTTCGGATTTCATGATAGTACTGTAGGCTACATAACTTGTTTTCTCGGCTTCGGGTTGTACCGCATACCGTATGTCGACTAATTTAAATCATGGCTTATTTACGTTGGTCGACAGGGCACGCATATTGAATGAGGTAATTTATTTGTCTTATCATTGCAGTCATTGGCTTACAGACCAATCAAATAATAACCTTTAGCGGTTCAGTCGCTACGGAGTAATATGCCCTTCTGTATACAGTGACTCTAGTTTATGCATCACATTAATTTATATAAGGGTATCTTGATATTCATCCATGAGGAAATAAATACTTTTTTCTCCCATACAAGCTTCTTTCTAAGTTAGATATGTAACAGGAATAAATTTGCATAGATATAAACTATATAAGTAAGCAAAGAGGATTATGGTTACCTACCTCTGAAAATATATATGAAGAAAGTAGATAAACTGATTATCCAAGAGTGGATGTTTGGTTTATCTCAGTTGCATAGGTGATGCCTGCACTGCAATTTATATCGCCATTATCAAAGTAAGAGATAATAAAAATCGGGAGTCAGATTGTTATTGCAGCATAAGAAGTCTCGGAGTGATTATCACGTGACTTTTAAAGTTATTGATAAATATCTCATTTCAATGATATCGACAATGTTACCGCGTGTCTTTTGATTAGAATCGGGCTTGACACGATTTGAGGTTAAGGCGAAAGATTATCGCACATTTACAATTTAATACAAACATTTTCATTGATCGATAACTTGATTATTACCTTATATGACTATGATTTGACATTCTCTATTATTATACGTAAATTTTAAAATTTTCTTAATGATAAATGTTTAATAAATTGGAAAGTGGATTTTTAAGCATTTTTTTAGTATGGCATTGTGAATGAAAATTGATAAAATATAATAATTTTAAAATTTGACATATTTTTTTATATTAAACTAGCTTTTGACCGCGACTGCGTGATCTAGTGTTAAGTCCAGAAATTTCATACCCTAATTTACCCCCTTAGGGGCGAACTTCGTAAAATCCCGGCTTGGTGAGCACCTACGTTCTTAAAAGAACACGCATGCAAAATTTGTTACTCCTAGCACTTATAGTAACAAGTTTTCATAAAACTTAGACCATTCGGGGTTGGAATTTTCAAAAATCGTCTCTTAGTGCTCTTCTACACTCCCTAAGGAATCTTCATTCCAAATTTCAACTTTCTACGCTAAGTAGTTTCGGCTGTACGTTGTCAGTCAGTCAGTCAGTCACTCAGTAACGCAAAAATTATATATATATATATATATATATATTAGAAAATTAATCGTACTGTGACTTTAATATTTGTACATGTATAAAAAGAGGATGTATAAAATTGTCGATCTATTCTGTAACCATATTTTCTCGAATAAAGATTATTATTATTATGTTTTTTCGTCATAGCGAATGCTGGTAGTTAGAGCCAAAATTCCATTTGCTGCAGATAACAGTTTTACTACTTCGAAAATCAGTGGCGTAGCTACCAAGGGGCTAGGCGGGGCAGTGCCCCGGGGCCCTCAAGCTCAGGGGCTCAAATCTTTACCAGAAAATCTCATTTGAACTCAACTTTTGAAAATTTCTCGCATTTTCAAAATAAATATGACAGGTGAACACTAGTTTAATCATGGCAACTCAGTTGTGAGAAATTTCAAAGTTATAAAAAGGGAATTCCCCTAAATAATTTGTGTGGGTTGACAGTGTTATTAATGTTTTCATCAATTTGTCGGATATCAATATCTGCATATTATTATTTATCGATATGCGTTTTTGTGATTCGCGATTGTGAACTTCCAGTGAAGATTTTTTTTCGAGAATGGTTAAAAAGTTAGTGTATCAGGAATGTCAATAAATTCTTTGTACTGGTCCATACAAAAGTTCAATTTTATTTGATTGTAGTACGTATACATAGTTACGTAATGAAATCTATAGATTTCGGCTACTCACTATATAACTCAAAGTACCGTTAAAATACAAGTCACATGCAGTAGGGGGCCGTCCATTAATTCATCACACATCATCACCAGCCCTTTTACGTCCCCACTGCAGGGGCTCAGGCCTTCCTTATGGATGGTTACGGAGAATGGGCCATGACCCTCCACGCTGGCCCAATGCGGATTTGAGGGTATTAACGACTGCAAATGCAGCCGGGACCAATAACTTAACGTGCCTTCCGAAGCACGGAGTAGCTCGAGATAATAATTTTTTGGTCACCCATCCCGTGACCGACCCTTGCGAAAGTTGCTTAACGACTACGATCGCGGGCCGCGGCGCTTATCCACTACGCCACCGAGCTATTCTTTTTGTCCATTAATTACGTGATGTTTTTTTGTCATTTTTTAAACCGTCAAATGTAACACTGGCGGCGATAAAATGTTTGCAGGGGATTCCCCAACAACGTCTTGTATCGTATCATTACGTTTCGGTTTCCTTTTACTTGTAACGTTGTCAGTGAACAGGAAGCACCTGCTTAAGTATAATCTTACATAAATATTGCATAAATAAATTAGAAAACTAATATTATGGACAAAAAAAAGAAACCCAGTGGTGCATTTAAGCGCAAGCAACGCCAAGAAAGAGAAGAAAGTAAACAAAAATTGCCCAAAATTGACAAGTTTTTTAGTCAGTCTTCTGCAAGTACTTCTGGACAAAATATTTCTATTGACAATTTTTGTAAATAGCTTGCATGACGATAGGTTAAATAACAGTAAGCTGGTGCAACGTTTCTAAAAATAAATAAATATATAATAAACCCTTGAATCTTTCCTATTTCGTTTTATTGCCCAATACCTACACCAAGTATAAAAATAATTGTAATTTATGTTGTTAGTGTTTAATAGTTTTATTACCTGCCCATGCACGAAAAAGAGCTGATGATAAAGTTGTTTAGCATTTTTAAAGTATTTGTATATTTAATGATTTTACTTAAAAAAAACCTCACCAGTTTTGATAGCAGTGGGTCCCATTTTTTTATTTGCCCCAGGGCCCTAGGTTGCCTAGCTACGCCACTGTCGAAAATATAGTCTTCAAATACCAGAAGATTGTACACCTGGACCTACCCAAACGGAGATCAGAACAAGATGGAGGACCTCGATTACCAACGCACACACACACCACCCACTGAAAATTAAATAACATAGACCCTCTGTAAAGAAAACAACCAAACGCGTAGAAGTCCTTGATTCGAACTTGTTTGTCTAGTCGCATCGGGATTAACAACAACATTGGTGTCCACATTGGTGATGGATTTCCAGAGTTGTCCATCAACTCTGGAAATCCATTGTCCAACTTATCAACTATGTGATATGTGAATCAAAACCTAACGCCGTATCAAAAAAGGGACAGCACTAGATGTCAGCCAATACATGGGACTTGATTGAGAAACGGAGGAACTTTAAAGAAAGCGGTGCAAAAAACATAAAAGATCTAAATGCCACGAGTGCCGTCATGAAAGCTGTTTGCTGTCGAGACTGAAATAAAACGGTACAATAAATTTGTGAAGAGTTAGAGCGACATTCTCAAAGGTCTGAAACAAAAGACTTTCATATGAAAATCAGATTTGAAACCCGTCAATTTAAACCTAAGCCTCGGGTCATAGAGAATGCCGTTGGAGACACCGTTACAGAGATCAAGAAGAGTCAGCGTCTGAAAAGACGTCTGAAAAATCTCTGTTTGCTGACAATACAACAGAAATCGCGACAACGGTCGATGAAACTTCAGAGCAAGAACCAATGCCACAAAAAAATTAGGTTTGTTTCCGATCGAAACAATAAAAGCTATGGGGGATATTGGACTGGATATATTGCACACCATCTGTTGTCGAATATTGGTCATTGGAGGTTGGCAGAGTGTTTGGTCACACTCTATATTCATAAAAAAGGGTCAACCAAAAAGTGCAGTAAAAGGGTCAACTAAAAAGTGCAGTAAAAAGGGTCAACTAAAAAGTGCAATAATTATAGATTTATAGCCCTCATATCACATGCTAGGAAAATCATGCTGCATGTTGTCAGTGAGAGACTTTAAGCTTACCTATCCAGAGAGATCGCCTCTGATCAGGCAGGTTTATCAGTCGTAAACAGTCGAGCCACAAGAGAACATATACTCATAATGGGACAAATTGTGGAAAAGGCTAAAGAATTTAATATCACTCTACGTATGATTCGTTGACTTTAGAAAAGCCTTTGATACCGTCAGGTGGGGGAAGCTGAGGTTAATTCTTAAAGAAATGGGTGTACCGAAACATCTGACACACCTCACTATTAGTCGCACAATAGTCGAAGTTCGATGATAAAGTTCGAACAGTATTAAGGTTTCAAAATAGACTGCACTTTCCACATAAACTTTAACTATGCCAAATTTTATCGACACTTGTCCGTGCAATTTTCGTAAAAGCGGTAAGTATTAGATATTGCTTTATACCTACCTTTTATTTAAGAGTATTGTTTATGCGACATAAAATAATAACTATCTATATCGACAATGAGTAACGAGGAACTCAACACTATTCTAGTTATTCCAGTATTTACTATTACATTATACTAATCACTATTCCAGCAATAACAGGAGCGTAAATTTCGTTGTAGTAATTTTTATATTGAAATATTCATTTCAAATATTTGCACACAAAAACTTATTGTCCACGCTTGAAATGACAATATCCTGCAAATCACATAATTGTGTAGTACCGAAAAATCAACCATTTTATTAAATTGGTATCGACTATGTTTGCTAGAAATTTTTAGACAATGATAGTACCGTTCTCATTGTGTGCTAAATGGTGACATCTTATGACTCAAAAGTGGCGCGCCGTACCGTTCTAACATTTTTCCTTGTCCTGTGGTTTCTCGCATCCAATAATACCTACACAATGGTCATAAGGTATAAAAATCCTTCAGAATCTTGCATGCGGGCCCTAGATGCGTTCAAGGATTAGTCTCTTTAGACTAGCGAAAATGACTCTATGAACTCTAGCTTTATAGCATGCGTTACATAATATTTAATTTGAGGGTCCTATCGACCAATTACAATGTGTATTAAATGAAATTATTTCATGATACAATAAATACGACTAATAATAAATGTATGTACTAGGTACAATCCTTGAGATATTCATCGTTGAGTCTGTCCACAGATTTCATGTAATTAGGTATTTACTTAAAAATCATAACAAATTCCCTGCCAAAAAATAAAATTGAGTCTATAATTCGACTCAGTGGCGGATTAAGGGGGGGGGGGGGGGGGGCAGAGAGGGCGGTTCACCCCGGGCCTCTTGTCCTGGGGGGGCTCCAAATGGCTGCAAGTTCCCTTGATCAAATCATAAATTGGGGTTCTACTGCCTTATCTTTCTTATGTCTAGTTTCATAGTTTTAGCTGGGGTGTTTGTCGGATGAATAGATATGCAACTAAGCTAGGATCACACGTGCTTGTTTTCATACACTTCTTTATTTCCTAGAGCGATTGGCTTCAAAGAATAAATAATAATTATTTTAATTGTTAATCGTGATAAATTTAAAAGAGTTCAAACACAGTTAAAGATAGTAATTACTAGTGGCCGCCACCCAAGTAGCACATAAATAATATATTAACTAAAATAAGTACTGATTTATGTCCTAAAGTCATACTAACATTTTTAATCAGCACTGGTCAAGTTTCGAATCTGTTTAAAGGCATTTATTTTATCTAATAATGCTTAATGCCATATTATGGTTAATAAAAAAATTATATCAATGTCAAAACTCATATTTAAGTATTGGGTAATATTAATATAAAGCTGTTATCGTATTTCGGTGATATGAAAAGTATTATATATTATATAAGCATTAACGTAATATTATTTAGTGCACTTAGTTGTATTTAGTCATTTTCTAGAAACAAAGTTTTTCTAATGGCCTATGGTTGTATCGATTTAATACTTATCCTATACATATACACATTGAATAAAGAACAAGTAAAACTTTAGCACTGATTTGTTCTTAAATTATTCTTTAATCAAGCTCCTTTATCTTCTTAATCTATTCTTTTATCAAACATTAGGCTATATTTTGATCAATATTAAGTTATTTATAGAGATACAAGTCATAAATAGATCGTAATTATGTTTTATGTAAAATTATTTTATGTATTGTATTGTAATGGTGGCATTTTATACGCATCGCTGGCATCATGGACAAAAAACGTTGGGAAAAACAAAGAAAACAGGTGGATATAAAAAGAAACTGAAAAAAGAGTATTCTAATTTAATTGAAGCTTTTAAAAATCAAAATAACAATGAAATAATCGTTTGATGATTATAAGCACTATAAGATACTTCTGAAGTGTTAAAATACGGCTGTACCTAAAATGGGAGTGTTATACGGTGAATTACGAGCTCTTAGTTTTGTGTCTAACCATAATACGATTAACAGCTCTACTACACTATATTTGAATACCTAATGCTTTAATTTTACGAGTCGCCATTTGCTTTCTTTTTCCATTTCTTAAAATAATATTTAAAGTCAACTGTGTGAGATGAAAAGGGGTAAATAATCATTTATTTTGTACACAGATGCCTATAAAAGCAATTATATTGTTAAAACAATGCTAAAAGCTTAAAATTCAACAAAATTTTTTGCTACTAGGTTAAATTCTCTATAATTTTTATTATATTAAAGGAAGTTTGCGAAGGCGCGTGTATTTTACACCATAAACTTGTATATTTTACTCCACAAACTGATGTTTGCAGCTTATTTCACTCATAACGAGCTGTATAAATGTTAGTACTCTCCTGTTCAATATTAAAAAATACTTAAAAGACCAGCCAAGAGAACATGTCATCATGACACACAAAACAATAACTTAAACCGATTATATATTTTTAAAATCTATTGAATATAATTTTTTACAAAGGAAATAAAACAGTAAGAATTTTAATAACATTAAATTAACGTATTATAATTTTGATTTCCGCATATCAATTGTAATATAATCACAAAAAGTTCTTTTTGTGGCTATTAGAATGCTTTTACCCGATTTTATTAATGCTATTATACAAAAGTTGAAGTGCTATTGCACAGCTTTTATAACGCTTAAAGTCGTACAAAGGGGGGGGGGGGATTTTAAGTATAAGAGTCGTTTAAAAGAAATACGGTTGATATACGATTTTATTATAATGCTTAACGCTTGGACTCGTGCTATTATAAGTTTGATATAATGGTGTTTTGTGCTACTTGGGCAGGGACTTCGTCCACGTTTTCCATTATTTCTTCGCTCCTAATAGTTGCAGCGTGATGTTATATAGCCTAAAGCCTTCCTCGATAAATGGTCTATTCAACACAAAAAGACTTTTTAATTCGAACCAGTAGTTCCTGAGATTAGCGCGTTCAAACAAACAAACAAACTCTTCAGCTTTATACACGATTCAAATATATATATAATTTTAATAGTTTTGAAAGTGAACTCAAATTTTTATTCTGTGTGTTGTGTGATTATAATTTTCAGTCAACACTTTACGTAATAGAATACCTATTCTTAATCTATAACATCGATACAGAAAAAAATCTATTATTTTCTGACCACCTTACTAGTAGAAAAAATGTAGCAATATTATTTCACAAAATGACATTAGGAAATGTCATTTTACTGCATTTAATTGAAAGTCAAACTATAGTTAGAACCTCCTCCTTTTGTTAGCGTCGGTTAGAAATTTTGTACATACAAAATATATTTATGTACATATAGTATTATATTTTGATGTCTTACCCACTTTTGTAAACCTAACAATAAAAAGAAACAAGCGAAGCAAAGTGCAAAACTACATTACAATATTTACTTTAAGAATGATATATGAATAAAATAAACCTACTTAAATAAAATGAGAACTCACATTGTGTAATATGACAACTCTGTCAGCAAATTTGAGATGGTGGAGCTGGTGAGTCACGAGAATACGTGTAGAGTGTCTTAGAAGTCCCATCATGCACTTGGCAACAAGTTCCTTTCCTACATGAGTGTCCACTGCAGACAACGGATCGTCTAACAAATAAACGTCAGCCTGTAAGAAACAAACCTGCGTAAGCGATATCGTAAAACCCAAACCCTCATAAAACATTCTCTTACTTGATATTCTTTACCTTTAAAGATTTTTGAAAGATCATTAACAAACCAGAAACTAGATTCTATCATTCTAATCGCAATATTGCGAAAAGGAAATATCCCGCCTATTACATGTTCACAAGAAATTCCAAGCACGCTTATATGAAAGGTATTATTGCTTAAACACCGAATAATATCTGGAGATGTAAAAGTCATCTTCCTTTGGGTTATACAGCACCTGTCTGTAGCAAGCACGAGCCAATCCCACGCGAGCTCGCTGTCCACCACTAAGACTTGTTCCTCTCTCGCCTACAAGAGTACTGTCGCCATTCGGTAACAACTCGAAGTCTCGTAGCAAAGCACATGCTGTCACCACCTTTACAAAAATAACAGCTATAGTAGCTAGCCACACAATTTCATACATAAAATAAATATGGCTAACAATAAGAACACTGATCTGACGTTTTTACCTTTTTATAGCGTACTGGATCATATGGTAAACCAAAAAGTATATTTTGTCTCACTGTAGCTACGAACAACCAGGGCTCTTGACTGGCATATGAAATACGAGCACCACCCAAGGACACAACACCCTCTGACGCCGGTAGTTCACCCAAAATGAGTTGCAGCAGAGACGACTGTTGAGTTAACATGACAAAACGATTAATTAATTTAATATTATAATCAGCTTGATTCAATATGTGAAAATAAACCCACTTTTCCTGAGCCCACGAGGCCAGCTATTCCTACAAATTCGCCAGGCTGAATGGTTAGGTTAATATGCCTCAACGTATTAACAATGGTATCTGGGTGCCAGCTGGCACTTACATTGGCCAGAACAAGTGCCGTGGGCTTTTGTTTCTCTTTTTCCATTTCTTTTTCTTTATCCAATATTCCATTCAAACCATTTAGAGGATTTTTCAAATGAGCTTTTTCTGCCTTTTCCTTCGCAGAACCTATTTCTTCTAAGTTAAGAAACTCCTGTAATTAAATAATATCACATACGTCATGTAACTTTTAGTATATATTTACAATTATAAGTAAATGTTAAATTAATTTACCTCTAGTCGCCTTACTGAGACTTTAGTTTCAGCTAAGAAAGACAAAGCCATTGGGAAAAATATGTTACAGGCCAATTGCATCAAGTTGAAGTACTGGACGAGGGAAAAAGTAATCTCTGCTCTGATCTGTCCGCCCATTACTACGAAAGTGACAACCGTGGCAAACAAAATAAATCTCTCCGTGAACACCATTAAAGCTGTTGAAAATCCTTTGACCATTGAAGTCCGGCTGATAAATTTTACTTCAAGTCTAAAAAAAAAATACTATTTTAAGGAATTGTAGGTACACAATATGAGGAGATCAATGACGCACTGATAATAAGTAGATTAGGTTTGCTGCGAACGACTAAGTACAAGGCCTAAACCCTACAATAACTCTATCCTGTCGTGCTATGGAAGGTATATTACAGTGATAACGGCAGATTTAGCTAGTCAGTCAGCAGTATCTGCAGTCGATAACACTCACCAATTCTCAGTTAGTCTTCACATTGTGTTATGATATGAGGCAAGAGTAAAAATGTGTGCTCGTATGATGTGTGTGCATAAAAACGTCATAATTTCTAGTAAAGTTTATTATAAATGAATATATTCAACAGTCATAAGTACTTAACTACCTATATATTCGTATCGAATTCTTGACGTGGCAGTCGGAGTGGAATGTAACAAAAATTTTTAAGTAATAAAGCTCAGATTTTTTTTTATAGATGGTATTATGTGAACAATCCAAAATAGTCATAAAAAATGTTTCTAATTTATGTCGCTATACCACCAAAACTAACCAAGTTATAAATTGATCGGCTGCCGGGAAGATAGTGAGTACAAAACCGTGATCACGATCAGGACCGCTAAAAAACGTTGTGCAATACGAAAAATGTTGTGCAATAACAAAAAAAAAATCCTGTATTAAAAACGGAATCATACTATCTATTTATCTAATAGATAAATATCAACAACTACCTGTATTTAATCATGTTTTCGATAACAAGTATTGTTATATCAAATCAAAGCAGTTTAGTGCTGTTATTACCAGCTCTTTTACGTCCCCACTGCAGGGGCTCACGCCTTCCTTACGGATGATTAAGGAGGATGGGCCATGACCCTCCACGCTGGCCCAATGTGGATTGGAGGATATTAGCGACTGCAAATGCAGCCGGGACCAACGGCTTAACGTGCCTTCCGAAACACGGAGTAGCTCGAGATAATAATTTTTGGTCACCCATCCCGTGACCGACCCTTGCGAAAGTTCCTTAACGACAACGATCGCGGGCCGCGGCGCTTATCCACTACGCCACCGAGCTAATAAATAAAGATAATAGCGAAACTTAAACGTTCAGGATGTGTAGCGATGTTACAGTAAGACTGCGAGGTATACATTTTTAATTTAAATTCATCGTTTAATGAAATTGCATTTCGAAATGCAATACAATATGCAATGTTGTTATAAATACATCCATCCAGCACATTCGATGGGTAAAATCAGCTCTTTTATCTAAGAGTGACAAGAACTATGTATACTTAAGTAGATAAAATGGCAATTTAATCAGATATATGGTGTAACAACATTTTTATTCGTAACACATTACTAACTTTCTTAAGTTATCGACGATCTTCTCGAACGGTTTCTCCCATGCATACATTTTGATGACTTGAACTCCGCTAACCAATTCGCTCATGACCCTCACTCTCTCATCAGTCCGCTTCGCTATCTTCCCTCTGAATTTACCTTGGAGGTTACTAAGGTAAACTAAAATAAATTATGCCTGTCAGATATCGATATACTTAATAAATATAAAATAAAGTTATCTACAAAGGTAGGTACTTAAATATTTAGCAATTATGCATATTGTTATCATTCAGTTAATTGATACATCAACAAATCAATATACGTAATTTAAATCATTGCAGTCGGGCTTATTATTACGTCCTTGTGTGAATTCGATGAAATGATATGGTAACACTGTTTGTTTTTATTGCATAATAATAACGTTAGCTAGAAATGGCAAGAGTAGCATTAGAGATTGTAAAAATTATATAACAAATACCTTGCACTAACACAACTTGGACGAAAATAACCAATAAAGCTGCAAAAACGGCATAGGTGACGTGTTGCCAAATCAAATAGGAGACGACTGGCACCACTATAGGCATTACCCACAAATAGTTGAGGAACAACGCCACCATATCGAAACGATTTACATCATTCGACATTAAGTTTATGACTTGTCCAGTTTCAGTTTTGCTCATCCCGATGCGATCAAGTTTCAAAATCTAGAATTAAAAATTTTGAAAATCCTACTTAATCAAATCGAATTTAGTATATTTAATAGGGGATCGGACAAGATATAAACAATATATTATGTGTGGTTAAAAAGTTCATAAAGTTTAAAGATTATTCGCTGAATATTTTTGCTCAATAATAATAATTTCTAATTTTCAATCGATCAACAAAAATAACATTTTCCAATATTTGTAGTCTGTATCTCACGTTAAACGTAACACCAATGCGCGTGACATAATTTGTGGGTAAATTGTTACGAGTAGTAAAATTATTATCTATAAAAAGCGCGGGCAACAATCAAAGTGCAAAATGATTTTAAGGTTTTATTTGATTTTAAGCAAGTTACAAGGGTCAGTCTTCTGTATTACTTATTCATGAGTTCGACTATACATACTTAATAATATAATTCATTTGTTTTCACTGAAAATACTTTTTGTTTCCCCCTCAAATGACGTCACATCCTCAGAGTCTCCATTTACGCGGTTTATTTAACCATTGTTTTGGGTACATAATATTTTTTGTAGGAATGGGAACATATACTGACTAATTTAAAGTAGTTTTTGAAAGTTCTCTGATCCCCTATTGAAAGAGGGTGCCGTTCTAGATACCTACATAATTTAATTTATTAATCTATTCAGACATTTAATTAATTCGGGGGGATTTGTCGACATTTTTGATCCAGAAATGTATTTATTTAAGAATATAATTTTTAAAATTATGAATAAATCTCAACTGAATTTTTTAGACCGAAGTAACTGAAATATAAATAAAGATAATCTAGAACGGAACACTATGTATCTATAACGGAACACACTACCCAACTCTATGTATACTAAGTCTAATATTTTAAATTAAAAAACCTACCTTCCTGTATATGAGGGAACAGCATGCTATTCTTACTCTCATTCCAATGCGACCTTGTGCCAAATTTACATGATTATTCATCACTGATGTCAATACACTAAGAAAATTCATCACAAAATTGTATATGTGTGCGTATTTGTATGTTTCGGGATTTTTCTCACCGGAAAAATAAGCAATGAATAATGATAAAGTGTATGGTATAAGGGGCCTAGAACAAAACAAAAATTGATAATTTTATTTCAGTCTATATGTTGACAGTTCATTTTAAACCTTAACATTAAACGGAGAAGACACGGTTTACTTTTCAGGGTGAACATCCACTATGACGCACACACGCACCGCTGCACCGGATCTTTAACCTTAGAAAGCCAATCTAAATCGTTGTATACGCATAAACGTTTTGCACTCTTCTTTCGATTGCATCGAACCAATTTTGTATCCAAAACCGAGGGCCTACATATACGTTCATAGCGTAGTTACCACTCCTATATTTAGGTGTTGTGTAATTTTACTTTATTTGTTTTATTTATTTATTTAGTTACAACATGCCGAATTACAGACTAATACATCCAACACACCAGCAAAGAATGTCAGATAGTTAACTTTAAATTACATCGAACGCGCATTGCGGAAGCTGCGTTGACTGTTATTCAAAAGGCTTCTGATTTGTTGACCAATGTAAGTGTTTAATATCGATGCGAACACCTTAGCAAAGACGTAAAGGACTGCAATCGATCGATAGGTCGTGATATCCGGTCCAGGTACTCTCTTAGAAATAGACGTGACACAGGAAAGTTTCCATTGCTTAGGATATGTCAATTTTTGTAAAGAGTGATTGTAGATAAATAACAAGGGAACAGTCCTTGGCTTGGAACATAGGAATACCGTCAGGGCTACCTGCCTTATATAATAACAAATCCATATATTTCAGAAATATTAAATGCACGAAAACGCATATTGCGTACTTATACTTATCTCAGATATTCTATTCCTATGTCATTTCGAAACTCACTTCAATTATGCCACGAAACGTTATTAAGTGTACCAATTCAAGATTGAGCGAATGTCACTTTTTAAAGTGAATCGAACACCTGAGTGAATTGGAATTCGGGTTTGGATTTTTACAGAATCGCACGGCAGTAGTTTCGGACCCTATACACCTATACAAACATACACACAGACAAACAATCAAATGTTTCCTATTTATAATATTAGTATAGATAAGGTACTAGGGTATATTCAATAGTCTGTTGAATAGACAATCAAAGCAAAACATAGATTTGTCTGCGATTCTGTAAAAATCCAAACGCGAATTCCAAATTCACTCAGGTGTCCGATTCACTTCAAAAAACGACATCCGCTCAATAATAAATAACGTTTCGTGGCATAAGTGAAGTGAGTTTCGAAATGACATAGGAATAGAATATCTGAGACACGTATGAAAAAATCAATTTTGTTTTGTATGTTTATACTTAAAAAGGAATCAATAAAATTGACCAAATTTCTTTACTAAATGACGTGAATTCGGACACATGAGTGAATTCGAGTTCTGGTTTGGATTTTCAGAGAATCACAGGGCTTTAACCGATTTAAAAAATCTCTCACCTACGGGTAGCTACAACATACGTGGTTGACATAGGCTATAATTTACACGTGCGAAGTCATGGGAAAACGGCTAGTATTACATATAAAGCTAAGACACCTAAAATTTTATCTTCATATGATAAAGACTCTGTACTCAACTACATTTATTGAAATATTGATGTCTTATATTTTCACGCACACTATCCATAAATGAAACGTCAATAACACTAAATACAAACGTTATAAAACCGTTTAAAAGTTGCTTAATATATAAATTTATTGAAACTCAAATATGATCTAATAATTATAATTAGACCGAAGAATTATATAAATAAGTAAAGATTTGTAAATCTGTTCAATTCTGAAATATTTGTTAGTTAATCGAAAACAGAAGTTATTATTTTATTTTTCATCCTATTTTTAGGATGAAAGGAAAAACACGAAAGTGTTTCAGGTATTTAGTACCAAATTTTTGTATGGTTTTTATTTTTATAGTACAATAAATAATATTACTAAAATAATGCTTTATTCCATTTTAAAAGTAGTTAACACTGAATACAATATGTTACAAATGTATGTTTGTCGTAAATTCTCTTTGCACCGGCTGATATAAAAAAAATCATATTAAATAAAATAATTTCAAATTGAAAAATATAAAAAAAAAACAGAAGAAAACATACATGACATATATAAAATCATACACATAAAAAAATTATAAGTAAAGCCTAAAGATCAAAATGCAAGAAAAGAGAATGGCATCAAGAGATACCATACCGCTACACTTATAGCTGTTATTTATTTTATTCTGAATGTTACAAATTAGTATGAACACTTCAGTAGTATCGTCTTATCCATCAACACTGCGAACTAATCTATCTGACGTTACCTGTACCCATCGCATTCTTATAATATACCGACGTACCGTATGTGCGAAGATGTATTGGACGCAGTGTCATGGAAAATCCTTTTCGTACATACTGTGCATGCGTTGGGTGCATGCGTTGCGTGCGTGCGTACAAAGTGAACAATCACCTCTAACAACCATATTCGTCTACACATCTCGGTTGTGTACAAATTATGTTGATTAGAAAATTTAAAAACAAAGTGACAGATGTAAGAGTCATTCAAACACACTTACCATAATATGATATAAAGCAGTCCTACAAATATGCCGCATATTAAGTACTCGACCCAAAAGGAACTGATAATGGCCCGTGATAGTGATGGTTTGCTACCATTCCTGCTGGCCTTTTCTTGTTCGTAATGCCATGCTTCCTCAAGTCGGTCGCCCAGGCGTCCCGAGTGGTCGCCCTCTCGAGCGGGCCAAAGATCTTCGATTTTTAATGCCCCTTTGTATCCTCGCCGAAAAAGGTTGAAGCTCCATCTGTAACAAAAACGATTTGTACTTATTGATTATATCGAAGTCTGGAAAAATAAGTAGATATATAACGGACAACCGCAATTGTATATTGATAAATTATTGAGCTCTATTCTATTAATATTTTTAATACTTTTGCAATGTTTTTAGAACCAGTAAACCATAAGGACGACTTTATCTTGTTCTTCATTCACATTTGAAGATACCACGTTCATTCATAGTCACGACACCATATTTAAAATGTTGTGTAATATCTGTAATTTACCTTTCTCTCAAGATTGCTTACGCATATCTATGGACAGCTTACAAAGAAAGTTGTAACGTATAACAATTTGCAAGTTGACGTCCTTAGATTAATTAATGTACCTACTTTGATTACATACTTGGACATTTGAATTGATGAAAAAAAACTATTCAAGTTAAAGAAACAAAAAATGTCTTCTTATTATACATATAAGATAAGATTCAGTTTAAAATAAAAATACCTGGTTCTTCTTTCTGTAAATATAACAAATATATAGTGAGACTTATCTAGTGACGTTTAATAATTTTACTGCTAAAATCTGTGTCTCGTTTAACGAAACCTAAATGTTGTCACCGAGGTAGCCATTGGCCAGGTAGCGTTGACCAATGGAGATTTCTACGCGGACTAGACGTACTTAATGACGACTGATAATCATCCATCCATTAAAATTATATTCCAATAAGCCCATCGACCCCAGGCACTCAAGGTGACACTGAGAAATGCATTCCGCATGTCCGCTCCCCTCATGCGCTGGGGTTCACGGGGTCTGTGGGACTCCTCCTGTGGTCCAGCCCCCAGAGTGGGGGCTAGACAAAATACAGGAGTTTACCCACTAAAACTCAGCGATGTCCCTCTCATGGTGGGCGAGGCGCGGGATCGGCCCGAAGGCCATACGCCGCGCAGAATAGTCATGTACCTAGCAGCTGCGTCATATATCTGAGTTCGTGTGTGTGTGTGTGTGTGTATCTTGGTGTGTGGGATCGTCAAGCTTTATCTTGTAGTTTATAGGAAAGTCGTTTCATAAAAAAATATTGCAATAATAAATAATTGCTACAATATCTATTAACTAGGGATGCATCGATACTTCGGCCCATACGATATCAATACTTATATTTATAAAAAAGTACAACGACGATACGAAGGTAACACACGAGCCCCTCACAGTCTTTACGGACAGCTCCAGAACCTCATCAGGTATATTCTCTGAGGACCTCAAAATCTCTTCTTGTACCTCAGATCATTTTCGTAAAATACAGTATTTCATATTAGTCTCGGGTGGGAGAGCGATAAGTACAAGTTAGTAACAGAGTCAGAAATCCAGTTTTCCTCTGATAGTAAATCAGTCGTACAGGCTCTCATAGGCAGCTCTGTCAGATCGAGTCTTCGATATGAGTGTCTACATGGTAGGGACACAGAATATAATTACTATCCAATGTAAGAGGTTAACACTCAGCTTTACAAGGCCCTCCTACAGCTAACAAAAAATTATTGCGCCGATTAACAGGTGCTATCATTGGTCACGCAAACTTTAATAGGCACCTTTTTTTGTGTGCAGAGGAAGCATGGAGGTAGAAGAAACAGCAACTCACATTCTGCTGGAATGCAACAGAGTGACTAACTTTCGGGCAAGATACCTCGGTTCACCGCGTAACCATCCAACTGGCCATCACAGGATTAAAGACTTGGGGAATGTTTCTGGCGGAACCGAGCTGGCTGGAATAACTTCCAGCCACACCGCAATTTTGCCATCGAGTTGCAGATAAGCCCGTAAAAACGTGGTCATTTCCCGAGCGTAGACAAATTCAGTTTTTATGAACGAGTTAAGCCGCGACAATAGCACGTTCACAAAGGTTATTAATAGCGCGCGACACTCAACAGTGTACGGCAAATTAATTTAGACTGACCGGCAAATTAAATTAAACTGGAAAACTCGCAAATTTGCCGATATATCAGTATCAGTGTCGGATGAATCCCTACTTTTATCATTAATTAAAATTTTAACATTCATTTCTGTAGGTAGTAGAGTAAAGTAACAAGTGCTTGAAAATTCGTCAGTCCTGTTAGGTCCTAGGTAGCTCAGTGATTAAAGAAGTAGCCCGGATTGCGAAAGGTCATGGGACCTAGTCCCATCTCAGAGTGCCGGGGAGAAAGTGTATTTTTAAGAATTTTTCACTAAAAATATTCAATTAATTATACAACTAATAATCATTAATACAGTCAAAAAAGAAAGGCACCCATATATTTTTATTTACTTTAAAAATGCCTTTCAATACCCATACACATTATAAATTATGATTGGAATGACTTGTTTTCACAGTTTCTTAATGAAATAATAGAATAGAATCCAGGTTGCTGCTAATGCTAATTTTACTCAGACTTCTGAAAAACATATGATAAGTTTAAAAAATTACTGATATTCACAATGATGTTAGATGTAGTCTCTGTGGAGACCACAAACCAATTTAAAAATAGACTAGATAAATTCAAGAAACAGGAATAGTTAAATTTATCACACAAAAGATATCTGGATACAAACCACATCAGTTGTTGCAACTGTCTGCCTATCCTTAATAATAATAATAATATTAAAATGAATTGCATAGCAAGTCATAAATTATTAGAGGTGAATGGATATCAACTGACATCAAACTGCTAAATCACTATTCAGGTGAAATACCTGAAATCCAGAGACTGTTTTTACTGAACTTAATCTGGTTAAAATATTATATATTATTATCCTTTAGGTATCTTAATTTTACGTATTATTTTAAGTGCTTTTAAGAACATTTAATCCTAAGATCTGCACAACCGGTTGTAGCTTAGTCAGTATATAGTTAATATCTACTCTTGTTAGTTAAAGTTTTCTTCAAAACATTGGAATATTGAAAAAGTTTTAATAATCATCATCAGCCATATACATCTCCACTGCAGGGGCTCTGGCCAAAGGAAGTTAAGGACAATCGGCCATGACCCTCCTAAGGCCTAATGCATATTGAAGGGTATTAGTGACTGCAAATGCACCAATGAAATAATGTGCTTACCAAAGCACAGAATAACTTGAGACAATTTTTTTGTCACCCATTCCATAACCGATCTTGGCGAAATTTGCCTAACAACAACAATCGCGATCAGGGGCACTTATCCACTACACCAATGAGGTACTCAAAATAATGACTAATAAGAACTTAAAAACAGAAAGCCATTTGTAAAAGTTGTGATTACAATTTTTTTTTAATGTTATTTATATGCAGGCTATCTTTGGTCAACACCTCCATTATTTGAATCAAAATATGTTGTTTTTTATTGTTCTATAACACTAGAAACAGTTAAACACAGAAAATAAATATATTTTTTAATAATTCTTCTCAGTTATGTTATGTGGTCAATATACTCACGTTAAAAAAATGTTGGAAAATATGTTAGCCTTGTCGCCTGGATTCTTTCCTTTTAATGTAACTTTTGAATCCATATTTACTAGAGTTGTACCACCCAAAACTAAAAGATTGTCAAATATTTCTTCAAAGCACCAAATTATTGTATTCACTCCTCAATAATAAAGTAAACAAAGATATATTAATACATAGAATGAAATAATCTCATTACAGTTTGTCTTTTGGAGTTTTCATTCATCACCGATTCACTGGGAGAACACTAATTTGTGTACCGAATAAATATGTAAAATTGATTTATTAGAATATACGCCATGTGTCCGAATAAAAATAAATAATTTACACTGGAAATAGTTTTAAATGTAACTTATTTTAATAAAACTCGCACTATTCATAATAAAATAAAAATTATTATAACACGACATAAGACACACCACCCCTAACACCTGACTACTGACGTTATTGTTCTGTGCTACTGACTGACAGCTGCTGACAGTGACATTACTTTGTAGTAAAAAAGCGAAAGATTTATAGGTACATTTTGAAGGGAAACCAGAGTATTACTTTGTAGCTTTGTAGTAGTAATAGTAGTAGATTATAAGCAGTGGTGTTAAATTAGCGTCTAGCGTGTTAATTAAGACGTTTTTTTCTCTCTTAATAGTGATGAGCCCCTCACTCGCGAGGTGCCTCGTTTGAGTCCTCATTTCGACAAAATGAGGGAGTACGCGTTTTTCAATTTTGAACCAACTCATTTAGCTCCTTACTTTTTGAGGCTTCAAGCACGAGGCGCGAGCACAGATGTTACACCTCACGCAACAGAATAGCGAGTTGTTTAGAATGAAAAGGCGACTCGATACTTACTCAATATTGAGGGAATGGGTTAAGTTGTATGAGTTTTTTGGAACGATTCAGGTTTGTTTATGTCTTTCTTCGCAATACCTATTTAATTTTTTATAGATAAATGATATTAACTAGTCTTAAGTAAAAACCAAAGTAAATAAAAATGTATCGGTTTTATTTAGAAATATATTTATATTCCGTTGTTCCTTTTTTAAAATCGATTAATTAATGTTTATTATATTTCGAATCGAATTTTCAAAAATGGAACATTTGACACTCTTAAAAAGAAGTTGCGTGTTGTGGTCATTCTGTTAAATAATAATCTAATAAAATTTATTTATTAGAATCTAAAGGCAAAATATGTTTTGTTTAGCATTACCGACTCCCTCTCTCATTTTGTACCAAACGGCAACGTTGCGCGCGCCTCACTACGTACTCATTCGCTGATACTCTAACATTACCTATCCTCACCTCAAATGAGGGGTAACTCGCGAACCCCTCACGAGGAAAAATGAGGCGCTCATTAATCCTCATTCAAAAAGAGTGAGTTACACAACGCTACCTCTTAACGATTAACACTGCTAAGTAGGTATACGCGAAGGCGCTCAGAATTTCACGCGCTAAAACGATTCACGCGTGAAATTCCAAAACGATTCAACGACCGAACGAACAAACGAAACTAGACCGCAGCCGAAGCCAGCCGCGCGCGCAGTTAACGCGTGATTGATCGCGATCGTTAGCAGACGTGTTATGATTGATCACTAATGCTAATGCTCGGAGCACGCTAAGTACGTAATAGGGTATTTGACACTTTTCTGAAAACTATTTTAATTCGTTGTTTGCTACATTATAAACACACTGTCTTAATATTTCATTGGAATCTTTTCTATTTTTGGTGAAAATAATTGTTAAAATTTAAATAGCCAAAAGCGCGCGAAAAACGCTGCTCTATGTATTGGCGCTGATCGTGAGGTCACAGGCCAGTAAATATGTCAAATCGATAAGTAACAACTGTCTTTAGAGTAAATTGATATAATAATTTAGAAGAGAAATTGAAGTCGTAATGTGTATTTTTTACGTTTTTTATTTTCTTCTGCTCTGGTTTTCTTTAAAAAATGAGCTACAAGTAGTGCGTAGTGCCACAATGTACTAATACTTCTATAAATAACAAACAAACTTCGATTCTAGAAGTAAATAGATTCACAGTAGTATAGTAGCTATATAGAGTAGAGATGGGTGATAAAATTAGGTAAGGATTCGCTAAAAGTATTGAAACTTTTTTATTTCATATCGATACACTTGAAGGTTTTCTTTTTGTTTTTTTTCTTTGTCATAAACATTTTACGACTCATTTAAATTTGTTGACAGGGCTCACACTTTACATCCGGTCGACCTACAGATGGATGAGACATTAGTACGAAAAAGAATGTTCTATTTTTTTTATACATGCATGTAGTATCTGTCTGTCTGTTCACTAAATGCATGGCATTTGATAATTAGATATCAGATCCCGATGATTTTTTAAAATTAGTTTTTAACTTGGAGAACAGTACCTATATATCATCAAAATCGACTTTGTAATTTTGAATTATTATATTAAAGTTCAAGAAATGAGAAAAACATGTAAGTTGCTCTTTTTTTTAAATGATGGTGTTTTCCCTATTTCTTTGATTTTTTAAAACGCTTAGTAAATGATTTTCTTTTTCTGTATTTCTTTTTGGCAGTTCTTATCAGTAGAAGCGGCAAAGTATTCTGTTATCAGTAAATTACTATAAAGTACTCGATACCTACAGGTATCGATATTTTATTATTCTTTCTAACACTACTTTGACATGACAGCGGATGACTACACAGGCCAGTAAAGAGAATCGTGAATGGTTGTGACGACCAATTATAGGACGTTTTCGTCGTTGAATAAATTCCTACAAATATTGCATTTTCTTTACGTTATTTTACTAAATCTAAACATGTTTTTTCTGCGGATGTTAAGAAATAAGCTTTATTAGATTATTATCTATCAGGATGACCACAAAATGCAACTTATTTTCGATAGTGTCAAATACCCTATTATTACGCGCGATCCAATCTCCTGTGTTTTAACAAAGCTTACTAAGTCGATATTTTAAATAATTTAGATTAAAGGGTGATTATGTGTTATTCTGTGTATGTTTAAAGAAGTTTGTGTGTGTATATAGATTAATAACAGTTGTTTAAAACAATTATATTGTGAGTGAATAATGTGAATAAAATAAATGATAGCAAATGTACATTGTAAGTTGTTATTGTTTTATTTTTGTTGTTAAGTTTTGGTGATGGTGCTACCGGTGCAGGCCCGAAATATGGACGACGCCGGTGCAGGCCCTAGTGGCCTACAAAAATTACGCTCTTAGCCCCCATCCATACCTACCCTCAACCTTTGACATTTCAGGCAGTTTTTCCAATGTCTTCATCAATAGTCTAACTAATTACACTTACAATTAGAATTTATCAACACAACACACAGATAGTTTCAGTTTTAGTTCCATGTTGGCTTGGGAGTAAAAGATAAATTCATCTCAACCCCGAGGTATCGTCAAAAATAGAATGTTGGCCAGCTCTTTCAGACTACCTAACGTTCAAAGTTTCAACAAAACAAATGTATATATTTTTAATTTATCTTGAAAATAAAATGTTCTGCACTGCTGCTTCTATGACCCTCTTTTTTTAATGTTATAATGAATGGAGTATAACTATTTCGACTAAATAATAATGAGTTATAGTTTAATATAGCACGTAACAATGATATTAATATGTCTAGATACGCAATACATACAAAAAATCTGAAGCTACTAAAACTAAGACGTTTGTCTTAGTTTTTTCGTTCTTCACTTCATTACTCATTCAACTCCCGCCAAGAAAGTACAAAAAAATGCTCCGCAAAAACAAAGAAAAACAGAAGATAAAATACGATTCTTTTTCACAAATACACATAATACGAAAGAATATTAAGTTTCACACTTAAATCATTAACATTTTTGGCAATAAATACAAAATTATAGCTAGGTTATAAAATAAAAATATTTAATTTTCACAAATAAAAATTGCGACATTTTGTCGTCAGTGTTGCCACTGATATTCACTTTCAATTTTCCCAAGTATATGGGAGCCTTTTCTTTTTATTTAACGTGACTATATAATTTATCTAAATATCTTTTTATTATTAATTATATAGCTCAGCTTAAGTATAGGCAACTGCGCTAATTGTGTTGATAATTTTTTTATACACACACAGATGCTAATGTGATTTAATTTTTTCAATGCATGGAATTCGTTAGTTATCGAGATTAGTGATGCAACGGATAGTTGTTTGGCCGGATACCAGATACCGGATATTCGGCCTGACCACCAGCCGAATATCCGGTATCCGGCCGCCGAATATTCGGCCTGCGGTATGATACCTACATTTTAAGTTTCGTAGGTCCGCGTCGCGTGCCGCCCGCCCGCCCGTGCAGGTTTAAACTTGTTTCGTAGTGGTTCACGCGGGACAGTTCTTAGTAATGGAAATTGTTTTATCGTGTCAGTCAGTACGGAACAGCTTCATTTAAAAGTATGCTCGCGTAATTTTTCATAAGAAAACAAGTTGGTGGTGTTAGAGTGGTTTTGAATTAATTAACTTTTACCTACTGTGTCATTAGTGTGCTCATGAAAAATGGCAACAAGAAGGTCTCCGCTTTGGAATTATTTTGAGATAGATAAAGAAGAAGCTAAATACGCTATTTGTTTAATCTGCAAATTAAAAGTTTCACGTGGTGGAGAGGGAAAGAAAGCTGGAACCTCGTGCATGAAAAACCACTTGAAAGCCAAGCATTCTGATAAGTTTAGCGAAATTTATGGTGGTTCGTCTTCAGATGTCGGAACTGCTATTTCTACGAGCTCAACTGCAAGTACATGTGCCGCGGCCTCTCAACCGTCCTTGCAAAAACAATTAACTTTAGCTGAAACTGTTGAGCGAAAACAATATTGGGGGATAAATGATTCGAAGTCGAAGGAATTTCACTATTTGATAGGCGAAATGATCGCGTTGGATAACGAACCACTATCCATTGTTGACCGAGTTGGATTTAATAGACTCATGCAGAAAGCGCTGCCTAGATATAAGTTGCCCAGTCGCACTTATATGACTGAAAAAATAATACCGGACATATACGAACGAATTACCAAAAAAATTATGGAAAATATTTTAAACGCTGCAGTGGTTTCCATTACGTCAGATATATGGACTTGTGACCAAAATAATGAAAGTTTTTTGAGCTTCACCGCCCATTGGATATCTCCAGATTTCAAACTGGAACATGGCGTTTTGGCAATGAAGCCCTTTTCAGGGTCTCACACCGGAGAAAACATAGCTAACGAACTTAACATTATCGCTGCACGTTGGAATATCCCGTTAAATAAAATACACGTTATTGTACATGATAGTGGGGCTAACATGATAAAAGGAGTTCAAGTGGCTGAATACGATTCAGCTCGGTGTTTTATTCACTCTCTCCAGCGGGTCATTACCGAATCACTTAAAACTCAACCTGATTTAATAGAGATGCTGAATGCCTCAAGACGAATCGTAACTCATTTCAATCATTCAGGATTAGCACAAGAAAAACTGAAGGCAATTCAAACAGAGTTGAAGTTACCAGAACATCGGTTGGTGCAAGATATCAGTACACGTTGGAACTCGACGTACTATTTACAAGAGCGGCTGCTAGAACAGAAACGCGCTATTTCTTTGTATATAGCCGACCACAATAAACTTAGCAACTTGACTCCTCAGCAATGGAGTTTAATGGAGCAATGCATCATTCTCCTCAAACCGTTCGAGGAAATAACGAAGATCACGAGCTCAGGTTTGTCATGCATTTCAGAAGTTATACCTCATGTGGCGGTTTTGATGAGGTACATTCAAAAAGAAGAAACTTCACGCAAAGTCCCTAACTTATTACAATTTCTAACGTCCCTGAAAACTCAATTGCAACAACGCTTCGAACATCTTGATGAAAATCCAAAGTATTTCCTGGCTACATTATTGGACCCCAGGTTCAAGACCAATTTTTTTGGGGTAATACAAGCAGAAAAGGCTCGCCAAAGACTCTTATTGGAGAGTCTAAAACTATGTTGCAGTGAAGAGGATTCAGTCAGCAGTGAAGGCGATTCACCTCCAATGAAGAAAAGAGCAGGCTATGGCATGGGTATTCATGAAACATTTTGGGACTGCTTTAATGAAGTTGCCAAAGATCAGACTGAAGACTCTGGTAAAAGTGCTATAGCCAATCAACTTGACTTTTACTTAAAGATGGTTCGTCTTGATCGACAAAGTAACCCTTACGCATGGTGGGCAGCAAACGCCAAACAATTCCCGATTTTGGTTAAATTTGCCCAAATATATCTCTCTTCTCCATCTAGCAGTGTATACAGTGAGAGACTGTTTTCAGAGGCCGGGCTTATATATGAAAACAAGAGGAATCGTTTGCTTCCTAAAAATGCAGAAAATCTTGTTTTTATAAATCACAATTTACCTTTAGTGGATTTTCAATACTAAATTATTTAATATTACATTACTAGTAACAAATAAGTAACTTTTTAAAATATCAATATTATCACCAAATTACTTAAAATAATTGATTTATTATAAAAGTTGTTTAAAATAATAAAAAGCTTGGATTACAACTGTTATCTTACTAGTTACAAATAAGTAACTTTTTTTACTATGAATATTATCACCAAATTAATTAAAATAATTGATTTATAAAAGTTGTTTAAACTAATAAAAAACTTGGATTACAACTTTACAACTGTTTTTTTTTATTATGTAGATCTAACAACAAGTTTACTACCTATCCGGTATTCGGCCGGATAGTACATTACCATCCGGTATCCGGCCGGATAGTAAAAAATGGGCCGGATTAGCCGGATACCGGATAGTAACCGAATATTCGGTGCATCTCTAATCGAGATACAACTTTTGAAAATACGTAAAATTGAACCTTTGTTTGATGTTTTATGAACTTTGACAAATGTTTTTGTCTTAACCACTGACTTTATCGAAAAACAAAGGGATATATATGCACAGAGCCTACTTTCGTGATTGGTTTTTTTTTTTCAAAGTTTTTTCAAAGAAATTTTCAAAGTTACAGTATTTTACTAATTGATTTTAAACATATATCTACACTACTCGTTCATTCATTCATTCATCACAATGGTGAAATTTTCAACAGCTGGCAATACAATATGAATTACCCATTTTTCCGTTCATTCTACCGTTCGCACATATTCTGTCTTTGTTTAATTTAAAGTTTAATCGTAGATATGAGGGAGACAAATATAATAAATCTATATACAATATATAGTATAAATATTATTTGCAAAGCTACGTCCTGATTTCGGAAAAGTGCTACGCTTTTTGGCGCGTCTGTTGTATGGGATTGCTCTTCTAGTTATTAAACTCATTGGCACGTAATCTATTTAACGTACAACAAAAATAATTAACGTGTTACAAGGTTTAGCGTGCTACAAAATATAACGAGTCATTACGTACCCTTACGCTTATTTGAATTAACGCGTTGATAAATTAGCGCCTTCATTAACAGGTTAAAAAATATACTAATTAGTCTATAGCGCGTCAATGATTTTTAGTCGTTTTGTACACCTCTGATTATATTATAGTTTAAAACGGCTTTATATATTATAAACTACACTTTGGTAGTAGTTTTGTCCATGAGACAGGCGAAGGAACTAAGCCATACAGCCAAATCTTGGGTTAACATTTCTTTGACTTGATTAATGACGAGCATAGAGCGGACTACATAGACATGTAGGTGTAGGGGTCTCGTACGTGAAATTAGCAGGATTGTGGTTAATATAAAACAGCCATTGAAATAGAAGAAGGGTATATTTTCAGAACGACTTTTTTTTGTCAATACAGTGATGAATTTTATTTTTCACAATTCACCATAATCAAATATACTTGATTATAGATTAAGATACTGTGAGTCTAATAATGAGGAAGTATTTAAAAAAACGTAAATGTTTGTAGTTTCTTTATTTTTTTAAAATACTTCTTCATTAACGATGCAGCCTTTAAAACAGTACTTTCGAAGAAAATATTATTTTGATCCACCATTATGATGGTATGAGCCACAAAATCACTCAAGTCAATTATTTTTTCTTGAATATACGAATAAAAATGCTATTTTATAGCTATCTACCTTATTTATTTTTGAAAATAAAATTGTTGGTACGAGAAAAGTCGCTGGTAGTGACGTGACATAAATAAAAATATAGTAGGTTTAACTAAGCTTCATATTCTCACCGTATAGTTAACACTATAAAGAAATAATGAGGACGTATTTATTAATTTTCGATACTCAATTTACTTTTATTACGTCAGAACAGAAACAAAATTTGAATTAATATCATAGACAAGATCCAAACATCGCTAGTGACATCTAGTTCGATTTCAAGAACTAATTTTTATTTTTAAATACTTCTTCATTGAGCATTTGGAATAAAGATTTTAAAAAAAATCCTGTGTTCTGGAATTTCTTGCTACTTTATGAAAAGTTTCACATAAAACGAACACGTTATCGTTACACTATTAGAAAGAGAGACAAACATTACTTACTACATATCTCACTCGACTCGCTTTTCAGCTGGGCTGCGAGTTCTCGGTCTTGTTGGGCAATATTAGGTTCATGTTCAGAACACACTCGATGCCTCAGGATAAACATTTAAACTTGGAACACATTAAATAATTAAGTTCGAGATAAGAGTTATTTCTTGGAACATGAATAGTTTTTTACTTACTCTATGCTTCAGTCATGTTAACAGATTTGCGTCCATATTTGCGTGATAAAAGTAAATAGAGTAAGGGCCAGTTTCACCGGTTACTGATAAAGTTTCAGATAGTTATCTGATAGTTAACGCTATTTACTGGATAAAGGTTGCTGTTAACTTTTTTCTGTTTCACCATCAAACTGCTAGATAATTTATCTGGCAGATAAGTTATCGGCCACTTATTAGTTGACGGAACGGCAACGTCGCTTTTTTGCGTTTCAATACTACGACCCAAATTATCGTCAATCAAAAATCATTTTTAAAACTTAATAAATATTATTTTTTGTGTTCAATATTATTTAAGTAAACTTTTTATACTTATACTTTACATATTTTGAATTATAATTTTATGATTCTAGAATGAAATAATACGATATTCGTATACTTAGCTACGTGTTTGCAGAAACGAAACGCAACTATCATTTGTTTTGCTTTGTTGATATTTTGTGCTTAAGACGCTTTTCAGTTTTTAAACTTTTCTTTGTGTATTATTTTCGTATTTGTTAATTAATAATGGAAAAACAAAAACGTGAAAGAAGTGTGAATTTTAATCAAGAAGAAACAAACGGAGCTTCTTTACTTACTAGTTAACGGAGATTTTTTACTAAATAGCCCGTTGTAGTTTTTATATCACTTTCTATTAACGATAGAATATAAATAACAGCCCGCTTGGTAAGCCGAAATCGATTTCTAAAATCTTGATCGTCAAGTGATTCTCAATAATTAGGTCTAGGGTTAATTACTCGATTCCTACGGGGTCGCGTAATACGTTCGAAATATTCATCTAATTCGTCTTCTAAAAACTCAAATAAATCCATTTTAGAATATTTGTGACACTTGTGACTTCAATCGACGCAAAGCACACAATAATGGTCTAAAACTAAAACTATTTTCGTTCCCGTCAATTGCAACTTTTTTTTTATCTATCAGATAACGTCTTTATCAGCCACTTGAATCGGCTGATAACATATCTAACACTTTATCTGCCAGATATTTTTATCCGAGACCTGTGAAACCAAAAGTTGTAGTTTATCTGGCAGATAAGTTCCTGATAGACTATCAGGGACTTTATCAGCAACCGGTGAAACCGGCCCTAAGTATCGTAAATTAATAAAAATGAGACCGTTTCATGAATCTTTTGATATCTAACTTCAAATTAATTTTAATTTATTAGAACTGCAAGAATCATTCTATTTCCGGTTTAGAATGGAGAACAAAAGGCAGAGTGCTTATGTGCTGTTTTCTCCATGTTCAATTAAGCATCTATACGTCGAACGATACGATAAAAATGAATCGCAAAATGTGTTGGTAAGCGCATAACTCAACAACGCCTCGACCAATTTGGCCAAATCTTTTTTTAAAATGTTCGTTGAAGTTCAAGGATGGTTTTTACGAAAAAAGAAAAAAGTTTGGTTTTTAAGAAAAATTAGAATTATTGCTGGAAAAACCCTAAAAATAGCCCTTTTCTTTTTCCCATACAAATGATTTGTAACTAAAACGTAGTCAATTTGAGCTTTATTGCTATGGTATAAAGTTCATATTAAATTACAAGCACTCACTGTTGTCTAAGCAATGTAGGTGTGTTCCTAACGTCAAAGATCATATCTATCAAAACAATGTGCGTGTGTGCGTTGGAGCACAGAATACATAGTTAGAGGAGTTTAATGTCGCGTTCCGAAACTCGCGTTTCTTTTGTATTAGTTTCGGCACGCGAGATAAAATGCATCAGTTTCCACGTCATTACATGTATTGCCGGAACATTGATGAAAATACGCTCTGTAGTAGCAAAGCTGTTGGGTCCTAGATAGCTCATTGGTTAGAGCAGTCCCTGGATCGCGAATGGGTTCGAGTCCCATTCCGGGGTACAGGTAGATGGATTCTTCCAGCATTTTTCCTTGAGAATGTTTATATATTTTTTTAATTCGAATAGTTTACTTTTATAATGCTGTTGTGTGTAATGTGTTTTTATGATCATAAAAATCTCTTTTTTCTTATTTAATACTATTACTATTAATACATTGCAATAATAATTATGATTCACATGATTAACAATAAAGCGATTACTTACTTTTAAATCCTTATATATGTTTTATTTAATTATTTTTTATTCACAACGCCCTATCACCAGGGTGACGGTTCTGTTCAGGAGAATTTTTTTAAATACGTAGGCAAAAAAACTGCCACATTACAAATCTTTTTGACAGGACGAAGTCTGTCGGGTCAGCTAGTTACAAATAAAATTGATTTCTAGAATAGGTTGAGTAGAGTAGGTTAACCTATTACTTTCAATATTATTGAAGAGAAACAACAAGTGTGATTTTGATGTTTTTACTTTGTTTACAAATAGGTTTACGCCTCCTTCTTTGTATCGGTCTTGCCACCGCGAATTCTTCCGGTGCGTCTGGCAGCAATGAGACCAACCTTGCGACCGGCCGATGTACCTCTCTTGACGGTAGACGCCTTACCTACGAATACACATTTAGTTTAATAATCGGTCAACTCTCCAATAATTTTATGTATTTTGATAGAAAATGAAGTATGAAAAAATAATTAAGATTTACCTATTTTCATTTTGTTTAAAAAACAATAACATCAGTGAATGGGGTGTAATTTAAATACGTGCATATAATTATTATGCACGTATTAATAACATTTAGTACATTTTAAAGATATAAAACCAAAAAATATGTTTCTAACTTTGCAACTGCAGTGTTTAAAATGCTTAATTTGACTTCTTTTAATGAAAAAGTATTTTAAGAAAAAAAAGAAAACACTAAAAAAACTCCTCACTACATGGCGACTCTAGCAATAATTGATTTTTAGTAGGAAACAAATGGACGAAAGATAGTCATTTCCGTTCCTTTTAACTGACATTTTACTTTTATACATGAAAAAAAACCGGAAAGGTTGTCGTGGAGAAATCTAGAAAGTGCCGTAGCGACAACTAATTTGATTTCGAGAACTATTTTTTTTTCTTAATATTTCCTCATTTTATATGTATGTTTGAGAGAAAAACTCGCACTACAACAAAATCTGAAGATTAATACACGAAAGAAAACCGGGAAGGTTGTCCTGGAGAAATCAAAAAAGTGCCGTAGCGAAATTTAGTTTGATTTCGAGAACTATTTTTTTTTAATACTTCCTCATTGTTATGTATGTTTAAGAGAAAAACTCGCACTACAACAAAATCTGAAGATTATCCAATGGAAATCAGACCTTTTATAATTCATCTGGTAATGCTAGTCTCTAGTCTAACTTTGACTGCTAGTGTCTTGAACTTGTGAAATAAAATATTTTTCTTTATTATATTAATAAAAATGCTTTGAATTTCAACAAAATAATTGATTCTAAAAGTGACCATTGTGTTGCATGTAAATCGTAGTGACCCAAAACTCAGTGTAGGTGGTATACTAGATGTATAAAAAAATTATTTCACTTTTCAATAAAATCTCTTATTTTATTAACACTGACATTATAAAATAAGATTTCTAACTTCATATATTTTAATATAATAATAATAAATTTTAATTTTATTTATTCATATGTTATATACAATTAATTATATTACAACAATAAAATTAGGTCATCTACAAAACCTGCAGTTGTGACAATGTTTATTTTGATAAAAACTCATGCAAATCAAATTTTGAAATAATGATACCAGCTGTTTTTGAGCATGGTTTACCTAAAACCGATATTTTGGAAAAATCGGCGATTAATTATCAGTATAAGAGATGATAATGTCAGTAATAAAATGCATTGTTCATGATAAAAAGATTCATTCTTCCCTTAACCTGACACAAAAATTTTGACAATAATATTTGATTATAATTTTGATGACAATAATATTTGAACCATTAAATTCATTTTGCCTTCGTAAAAAAAGAGGTGTTATGGTTATAGAGTGGCCAGTCTGTGGCACTCATAGCTCCCGAATGAATGAACCAATTTGAATGCGATTTTTAATATTAAAGCCTTATTTACTTCAGCGGTTCTAAGCTATATTTTAAGAAAAACAGATTAGCAGTTTAAGCGTAAGTTCTTTATCAGGAGGATGTTATTTTTTAAATTATATGCATTTACAGCATAATAGCTACTTAACTAATGGGTAATTTGATAAAAAAATATATAATCTATATCCCTTTCCAGTAAGACTATTTTGAGGTATATATTTTAATGAAAGTATAAAATAAAATACTAAATTGTAAAACCCAACAAAAAATCACTAACAAGTCTAAAAATAATCTTAAAAATCACAAAATCTGTAAAATACAAATAACCATAGAATAGCCCCTCCATTGCAATGATAACTTTGATTTACTGTGCTTCATTTTATTTTAAAGATATTTTTTATATTTTTAAAGTGTTTTTTTGGTTTGATATCCAATTTATATACAATGTACTAATTTTTTATACATTTACAAATGACCAAAACTGAAATGTAAAAAAATATTATGTTGGCTTATTACAAGATTATTTTGAAGTTGATAATGATAGAACGCCAGGTGTGACCTATTTTCATAAACAACTTTAATCATTTATAAATCTAATAAAGCGCGCTTTATACATTTTCATATAGTCTGGTTGAGGCACATCACTATTTAAGAACTGCAAAAACTTGGCAACAGTGAATGTCAATTTAGTCACTGAGATTAAAAAACAGACTTTATTATTTAAAGAAATTGCACTTAATTGCAAAATATATTTGTATGAAGGCCAATGTATATATTGACATAGGGTATTAATATGATTATAAAAATCAATATAATGTGAAGTTATATAAATACATTGTTATCTATACATATATAAAAGGAGATGCCCTGATTTACTAACTGACAAACAATGCACAGCCTAAACTGCTGGTTGTAGAAACTTGAAATTTGGAGGGACCATTCCCCTTAATATATAGAGGTGTACTAAGAATGGATTTTTTTCAATTCCAATCCAAAGGGGGTCAAAAAGAGTGAAAAAGTTTGTACGAAACTTCTTTGTTTATGGACCTATGTCGATGAAAATTGGGTAGTTTATGACCTTAGGAAGATAATAGGTTATATTTTATCCTGAAAACTAGCACTTAAAGGGATACAAATGGGAGTGAAAGATTTTTATGGGCAATCAAAATGTTACCATAGCAACCATTTATCTGATTTGTCATTGTAATAAATTTACCTAATATTATTTACAAAATGTTTTACTGTAGTGATGAAAATTGGTATTTGAGTAAATATTACATTTCCGAGATTTATTCTAAATCATGCTATTAATAAGGAACTTTGCACAGGCTTTAAATCAAGAGCATTAAAATGTTGTTCTAAGTTTAGATTAAAGAAATTGCAATAATTTGTATTTTTCATATCATCAGTAATTAATTTATTGAGGATAAGTACTGCTAGGTAAAATTTAAAAGTTGAAAATTTTCACATCTATTTTATTATATTTGTTAATTCATATTATATAAGCACCTTAGTATAGTTTCCAAGTATATATGTCATGGCCAAATTGTAGAAAAAATATTTTTTTATATTTTGTGATCTATACTAAATTCCCATTAAAAATGATACTAAATGGCGTTAAGTATTCTACACTGCACTATTTGCTCGAGATTGAGTTTTAAAATAAAATTTGATAGTACCTATAATAATATCACATAATTTGAACATTGGTAAATTTTGGTTATCAGTCTTATGTTAAAAATAATTTTAACATGGACCACTATGATATGCATCTTTGGAAAATATATGTTGGCAGTAGGTTTATGTTGCGAAAAAGAAATTGGATCTACATAATTTATATATTAATGTACCAGTTACTATGGATCATTTTGTTTTGCAAAATTGTTCTATTTGAGTTGGTATCTTTTGGGCTAGTGATTTTTATAGCTAAAATTTGTTAAAGTCACATTGATCTTTACAGGACCTACAGACTGTTAACTTGATTTTGACAAATTTGTAGGTTAGATCCGGTTTGCATAACTATATCCATTTATATAATACCAAACTAGGTTTGAGAAGAACCAGTTATAAAACTCTCAAGCATGATTATACAAATGTTTGTATTTTTATCTATTAACTAACAAAATATTTTGTACACTGATTAACTTGTTAATGTGTTAGTATCCATTTGACTCCCCAGTTAAAAAGGTTGTAACTGATTTCCATAAATGATGAAAAGCAGAGTAACATCCTACTTAAACCTTTTATTATGCCTATTAAGAGCATATGGTTCATGAAGTAGCAGAAAGTTATGAATGGGTGTAACAGTAGAAAAATTTATATTTTCCTTTATAAAAATATATACCAATAAAGCTAAACTTACCAATATGTTGATGGTTACCACCACCATGAGGATGCTCTACAGGGTTCATTGTTACACCACGTACATAAGGCCAGCAGTTACGTTTAACCTTATACTTATGGTAGGCACGTCCAGCCTTAAGGATGGGTTTGTCTATACGTCCACCGCCAGCAACAATGCCTTAAACATAATTTCACTGTAATGGTATCATCCTGATTAAACTTGTTTATTTAGAAGAAGATGCAATATGCCTCAGAAAGAGCCTCTGTGTAATCATAAACTTTTCAGAGTAGGTAAGTAGAAAGTCATCATTTGAATACTTATTTTAAGAGATTTTATATAAAAGATCAGACTACCAGATGGTTGAATACTAATATATATACTACTCACCAACCATTCCTCTATTGCTTGAAGGCAGCACTTTCTTAGCTCCAGATGGCAGTTTAACCCTTGTACGTTTGGCATCTGGGTTATGGCCAATAACTGTGGCAAAATTACCAGAGGCACGGGCAAGCCGTCCTCTATCACCCATTTTCTCTTCCAAATTACACACAATTGTACCTTCAGGCATGGCTCCTACTGGCATCACATTTCCTGGAATAGGAAATACAAGGTTTTAGAAACACTTGGGATGTTATTATTATGTATAATAAAGAAATTTTAAAGACATTCAGTTACAACAATGACATAGTAAAGGGTAGGTAGGGTGGTCCACCCAGTGTATGAGAGTGAACAAATTTTGTCTATGTAAAACTTTAAGGTTGCTTACTCTAAAGTTGATCAAAATATGAATAAAAACTTTAAAATTCAACAATGTCTGTTTAACTCTTCATGACAAAAGCTTAAAAATTACTTTCTCTCTGGCATTCTGAGACGGGACTTGAAGTGAAATATATTCGTTAAGAATATTTTTAATATAGCTTCGTAAATGCATGTATATTTATTTAAATATATATTTTGGCTGTTTGTATCTATAAAGAATTTATAATGAATATATTTCATACATAAAGTACATTTTAAAGCATTTTTGAATATTTTTCAATATAGTATTGTGAATGCAAAATTGATAAAATATAATAATGTCTGATTACATTTATTACTATAAATATATAAGAAATGTAAATTAATAATAACAACTTACCAACTTCTAAAGTAGCTTTCTTTCCACAGTACACAAATTGACCAGTATACAGGCCTTCTGGTGCAATGAACAATTCTTTGCGAGTCTTAAACTTGTAGGGATCACGGAAATGAACCACTGCCAAAGGGGCACCACGGCCTGGGTCATGGATAATGTCCTGAATAAAAAATAAGACATGTTATTAATGGAAAGAAATTTAAGATAAGAGACGTTAGAATTAGACAGGTGAGAAAAAAATATTACAACATGGTCTCTAAAGCATTGTTTAGAACATGATTCTTAAACCTAATACTAATTTAATTATCACTAATAAACAATAGGGCAGGGTCGCGGGTTCCTAATTTAATCGTATTCGTAGTCAATAATATTAAAAGACTGGTTTCAATATTTCTAACCTCATCAAAAACTTGACAAGAAACTAGGAAAAGTTGAAGCCTATGTGCAGGTTTCTTTCACTTACTTTAACAACACCTTTTATGTATCCATGACGCTCGGCATAATCTAAAGATCTCAGTTTTGGTGCACCTTTCCTTTTTTTCGTGTGGGACACGAAGACTGAACCGGCGCCTTTACGTTGAGCACGTATCACACGACCCATTTTACCTCACTGAAAATGAAGACAACACTTTAGATTGTACGAAATACAAACATTTAGACTGCGCACAACTCGCGTTTTATTTGGCCTATCAAAAGTAAACCGTTTTAATCATATTACAATCAGATGTATTTGGATTTACAGGAAAATAAATAAATGATTCACGTACGTCCAAGACGGTATTTCATCGAAAGAAGGAACATAGACAACACAATAGGGATTCCGATCTTGATTCGATTTTATCAAAAATCGATTGTTTTTAAATTCTCTATTAGAAGTTTTGAATCGATTTTTGCCACCAGCTGCCTCTATATCGTCACATAATGAATACTTATATCCAAAAACTTTTTCTTTTGCTTCTATTGAATGTAATATTATTTGCCTCATTAACTTCGAAAACAACGATATAATGTAATATTTCGATAAAAAACCAATAATTAAAGTCCTACACTACCCAATAAGGCAGTATTTAAAAAAAAGGAAATACAAAATTATTTTAATTACATTACAGAACAAATTGTAGGTTCCATATGTCAATGAGGAAGTATTAAAAAAAATAGTTCCCGAAATCAAACTAGATGTCGCAACGGTACGTTCTTGATTTCTCCATGACAACCCTTCCGGTTTTCTTTCATGTTTAAAAGTAAATCAGTTTTCAAAACTCAATAAACAACTCGTATTCTGTTTGTAATTTTTCGTATTTGTATTGATATCTGAGTTTCAAACTCTTCGAATTTCAGTTTCTTAATATGTAAGTTAAAAGGAACGGAAATGACTGTCTTTGGTCCATTTCATTTCCTGCAAAAAACAACTTTTGCTACAGTTGCGATCTAGTGGAGGTGCTTTTTTAGAGCTTTCGTTTTTTAAATACTTTCTCATTCATGAGGTTAAACCAAAGAGAATAGAATTGTCAGTGTTGTATTGATCTGATAACTCGGAATATTTCGGAAATTTACTGTATTTATGTATTTATTAATAAAAATCAAAGTTAAATTTAAATTTCCGAAACCGTCCGAAAAACGCTGTGTCTGTCATAGCTTGCTACATATTTAGTGATCTGTGGTCTGTCATATACTGCCATTACGATGCGTATGACGTCACACGCTAGTAAATAAAAAACCTCAGCAAACTAAAATCATCGACAGGAAGCCATATTTACTAGCATGTGACGTCATCGGAGTTGCAACCACTTACGCTGTTATCTTAAATGTGACCAAAATATACATACCTATTATCTAGGAAAAGCGCGGAAAAACTTCAAAAGGTAAAACAAATTTTATTGATATGCTGAATTTTTAATACGTTATATTTCATCATTAATTTTTTGTTTTATTTATTTGTGAGTTTGAATATATAAACAGTATAATATGATAATTAATTTTATTTCACTGAAAAACTCTTTTTTATCCCGCGACCTTATATTCTCTGAGTAACAGTTACTGCGAAAGTTTATTTCCATAAAAATATTATTTTATGTAGGAATAGCACCCGTGTAAGTTTTTATAAAAGTTGACAAGTTTCCAGCACATTCTGACTTAGCACGTAGCAAACAAAATCGAACCTTGCTAAATTGCCGTAAATTTTACTGTGGTTATTGATTTGCTGTTGTACGTAGATGGCTAATTTCCGTAAGGCACTGTAATTTATTAACAACTACCTAAATAATACAAAACCTAGATATTTGATTTCTTGTTGATTATGAAAAGTTTTAATTTTTATATTTAATTAAAATTTTATAAAACAGGAGGTAGAAAACTGCTTAGCCAAAATAATCATTGACACAAGATTTGTTACAAATATTACGAGTTTACAGTAGTTTACCCTAAATGAATACTCCAATGTGGTGTATAATACATAGCATAGGCATTTATATTCAATCTGGTTGAAGGGTTAATGTATTAAGTATACTGTGGTCTTATGTCACGTTGTGGTCACGTTGCAAGCGGCGTGTTTGCGATTTGACAGTTATTGGTTTTGCTCAACCCAGCCTAGTCGACGCCTCACAATAGTTTGTTTGCATCTTCTCATCTACGTATTAAATAATTTGTTCTAGAAAGTGCAAATTGTTAATGTATAGAATAATTACTGTTGCGATGTCATATAGGTTTATGGATTAATAATAGTGAGGGAAAATTAAATTAATATATAGAATTGTGTAGAAAACAAACAATTGCATTGATTACGAAATTTTTTTATAACAGTGCTTTAAAGAAATATATTTTTCTCGGAGTTATATTTTCTTCTGCTATTAAATATGATAGAAATCTTTTAAAAGGTACGTATGTTTTTATTGTTTACAATTTGCATAGAAACTTAATAATAAACAAACTCTATTTGGATTAAATAATCATGCTTTAAAGTGTAAGTAAATATCTAATAAAATATTAAGATTGTGAAACAGCATCATTTATTAGCTCTGGCTTTGTCCATTACTTTTGGGAGTTAGCATAGAAGCTTTATTCATAATTGCGAAAATTGCGATGAGGAAATGGAAGCCTTATGATCAACTTTTTGTTTTCGCAATAGAGTTTGCCTTACTTTATTAGGGCTTATAAGAATATTGATGTATATGGCAAACATTATGACTAATGATGCTTTTATTTTTAAAATAATCTGTTGAATCAATATTTCTTACTTGATAAATGAAACAATTGTGGGTCATATTTTCTGTTAATTAAATAAATGTTATGCAATGTAATAAATATAAAATGACCCATTTGTCAATTTCTGGACAGTTTTATCATATTACATCATTAGTTTTATTTTATATGGCAATTTCATTCTTGGAATGGCACTCCAAAATTTTGAAGCTTATCAAAAAAATACAATTAAAGCAATTTTGTAATAATTTTGTAGTAATTTTGAAATAAAAAAAAGAACATTGCTTTGTTGTTGCACAAAACATTTTTTTCTTTTAAAAATATATTCAACATTCTAACAGTTAGGAGACCAAAAATGTCTATATTATAGTCTTTTGCACATAGCATGGTTGGGGTTTAAAGTTTTTGATGTGGTAATAAAAAAATAGATATACAATAACTTAATATTATTGAGTTCATTTCTAATAGAGTGCAACTGACCGTCAGTTGCACAAACATCCATTAAGGTATAATGGTACCTTTAACATCTAATGAATGTCAAAGTTGTATGGGTAATGTCCCTTTAAACTAATGAAAATTTTAATGGACGTTTGAGCAAATAGCTGATAATCTATTATGTGATAGACCACAAAATAGATTATCTCTATTAGAAGTGAACTGATACAAAATGAAAGAATACAAAATTTTATTATAGTTAAGTTTAATTGTTACAACAAAAATATTTAAAAATCATGATATGATTGATTACAGAATACATATTTTGATTAAAACAATTTTATTGATTCAATCCCTTTTAAAAAAGTTCAAATTTTTGTTCGAAGTTAAACATTCAAGGGTTAGTTTTCACTTAATTACGCACACTAAGCTGTTGGCCTCAGTTGCATTTGCAGTCTTTAATACCCTCCAATCTGCATTGGGCCATTGTCATGGCACATCTTCCTTAACTATCCATAAAAAAGGCCTAAACCCCTGCAGTGGTGATATAAAATGATCAGTCCGATCACGATGATATACACAGTCAAACATATGTTATTGACAATTTTTATTGTTTGCAAAATAAAAAATTGCATGATTTGTCAACAAATATTCCCATATCCAGGCTATGTGAAATGGACTATAATAATATTATAAAGCTGAAGAGTTTAAATAAAGCTGAAGAATTTGTTTTGTACTGATCTGAAATGAAAAATTTTTGTTTTGTCCGAATGGAAGGCTTAACATCAGGCTATTTGTTGTTGTAATAGCAACAGATATACATCATCTGTGAAAATTTCAACTGTCTAACTACAGTCTTGTGACAGACAGTAGAGTCTTAGTAATAGGTTCCCGTTTTACCCTTGGCGTATGGAACCCTAAAATGAACCAGTTTTACAATAATCTCTTTTATTTATGCATATTAGGCTACAATGACGGTCGGTTGCACAAATATCCTTTAAAGTTTAATGACTCCTTTAAGCTCTAATGTATGGGTACTGCCGTTTTAAGCTAATGACTATTTTAATGGATGTTTGTACAACTGGTTGTGAGACGTTAATCTAGTTTGGTAACAGATACTTAAACAAAATATCTTTCAAAATTCAAGTTAAATAAGTAACCAAAACCTGATACAATAATAAAAATACTACCTAGGTACTTGACTTGTCAACAGTATATGACTATGTGAGTGACTACATAGAGATGTCTGCTGCTGCCGATGCGTTGCCGGCGTCGAGCGCCGGCGCCTCAGGTCCAGCGGTGCCCGCACCTACTAAATGTAGCCCTGCCGCCAAACACATTGTACATTGGTTCCGAAAGGGGTTGCGACTTCACGACAACCCTGCTTTGAGGGCAGGCCTAAACGGTGCGGCCACATTCCGCTGCGTCTTTATCATAGATCCTTGGTTCGCCAGCTCATCTAACGTTGGAATAAACAAATGGAGGTAAATTATAACATTAGCTTAATATTATATTATAAAGTTTTGTAGGGCTTAAGATTATCTAATTAATTAATAAATAAAGAAAAATTTGCTTCAATGTTACAATGACTTGTAGGTTTTTATCTCGAGTGTAATAAAAGGCAGTGTACTTAGTTAACCCCCCACAAAGTTATGAAAATAAAGAGAAACATATAAATAAAGTAGAAATAGAGGAATAGGCATTATCGGAATATACCCTTAGTTAGGTGGTTAGATCCCACCGTTGCCATCTTGCGATATTTTTCAATTTTAAATGAAAGAAGAAGCGAAATCATAAAATACTGTGATATAATTTCTTAAATATTTACATAAATAAATAAGTTATGGGACTTTGAAGTTGCGCTCGCTAGAATAATTTCGCTTCACGCGGTATCAGTGTGTGACGTCACGGTATCGAACTTGACCACGAGAACGCGGCTCAGTACTGTAGTATTTTATGTTCATTTTTGAGCATCGTCTGCATCTTACGGTGGCATCACTATATATATTTTATTTTTAATGTGTTTTCCCTATGTATTAAAGTAAAACAATGAAAAACCCTAAACCGATAAAAATGTTTTTTACCGAAACAAATTTTTTTACAGTTTTATTAATAGACAAGGTTTATAGTAGGGGAGCCCACGATGCTAAATCGGGATTTACTCGAGCGTCATAGAGACCTATTGGGTTGCGAAGCTTAGATGATAACAATAATGTCATATAATATATACCTTTTCATCGGTGGGGGAAGCGGCTATAGATTTTTAAAAATGTAAAAAAAACTGTTGTATGGACATACTCGAGCGCGTCAGATATTAATATCATCCATGTCCTACGCATTTTTAAAAACTGTCGTATGTTAATCTGATCGTTTCCATGATGGGGGTGGTTATACGTAAGGGTTGAAAATGAAAAAAAAACTTTCATCGAGCGCGTCAGATTTTTTGAGGGGATGTCAAGTGAACCTAAAAAAAGCTCTTATATTATAATCTGACAATTTGGATGTAATGCAAACGCGTGAACATTATTAGAAAGTGCAAAAAAATCGCCATTTTGAAATACTCAAGCGCGTCAGATTAAGATATATATGGTTCATCTTTATGCTCCAGACGTGATATCTCATAATCTGACGATTATCTGAAGGGATTTACTTAAACTTACAATAAAAAATAAAAAATTTTTTTTTCAAATTATTGAGCTTAATTAAATAGAAAAGCACCGGAGTTAGCATGCAAATAAAAAAGTGTATGTTTTTTTTATATAAAATACTTATATTCATAAGAAAATGATTATATGAAAATTTAATTTTTACAGTATTTTTTATTAATTATCATTTTCATCGCTAGAATCATCTTCCTCTTCTTCTCTTAGTAAATATGTAAAAAGTGTAATTCACAAAATTTACATTAAAATAACAAAATAAGCAAAAACGTTGGAAATACGATGTAAACAATATCACGCCACAAACGAGTCTGTGTCATCAGCTGTCATGGCGTCATGGCAACCGAAACCAGAGTGAGAGAGTAATATATAGAAAAAGAGTGAGAGAGAAATAGTGATGCGGACAAGGAAATATAGGTATCACGCATTAAATCTTATCGATGAATTTTTATTACTTCGGCTTGTGAAAATCGTCAGATTATATAAATTTCGTAATTCAAAATAAAATAAAAAATAGCCACGCTCGAGAATGTCAAAGTGACGTTTTTTTTTACAACTTTGTAGCCTTCCCCCTTCTTTACGTCACTCTCAAATTGTCAGATTAGAGGTATATACACCTTTTAGCGTGTAACTAGCTCACCTTACCTTAATCTGACGCGCTCGAGATTTGCAGATGATCAATTTTTTTTTACTAATCTGATCCTTCGTCCTTGCCGGGCGGCCATTTTTATAGGGCTCATACTTGGTTCAGGTACTTAACTGGGTACAAGGTATCCCCCTGTATATTAATCTGCCGCGCTTTAGTAAATCCCGAAATCCCCGCTTCGGCTCCCCTACTATTAGTGTTGGAGTGAATTTACACTGAGGCTGCACTTAGTATTTGTCAAAATTTATATTATTAAACAGAGACTTACGATCAGTACCACAAACGTCCATTAAGGTTTAATGACGCCTTTAAGCTCTAATGAATTTTAAATTTGTATGGGTAATGTCGTTTTAAACATTTACTCATAGAAGATAGTAGGTTTGCTTATTCTCTATACAGGGTGTTTGGTAATACCCATACAATTCCGAATATGGCACATACTGTATGATGAATAAACCCAGAAAAAAATATCACTAAGTCTGAAACCCAGCACATGACCTAGATATTTAGTTTTTTTCTTCGAAGTAAAACTACGCTGAGAACCCTAAGAACAGCAGTTGTGTTGTCAAATACAACTCATCGACTCTATGTGCCGAACTAGTTTAAAAAATAACAGAAGTTAAATAAATCTAAAGATAAATATGCATCCGAGAGTAATTTATTGTTTCAAAAACAATGAAAATAACCATAAAAGAACACCAATCTTGTGATTAACGGTGTTTCAAAAACTATTATCAAGAAAACTTCTCTAATAATAATTACAAAATAAAAAAGAAATTGCAAAATACTTTGATTGAAGTTAGATATCTGCACTATTGCTCACATTAGTCATTGCAAGAACGAGCGACAGAGACATAAAATTGATGACGATGTATATTGAAAAACTCTGGTGCCCATCGGGGTAAGGTTTTGTAGATTAATTGCTTTGAAGTTTTGTTATTTATTTCATAAAGCAGTGTTATTTTCATGAAACAATAAAATACGGACTTGTACAATGATATTAATAATCTAAATATCGCTAATTCTTAGTTTAAATGATAATTAAATAAAGATTAGTTGTAATGGCTTTCCATTACAACTAATCTTTATTTAATTATAATTATTAATCTTTCTAATTTAATCAATGAATTTTTTATGCCTTATAATTTTGTTAATGACTTGGTCTTAAATTAGGTTACCATTTTAATATTATGGCCTTTTTATTCTTTTGTAACCGTGACAAGCGTAAATAAAATTGTAATAATTAGTAAACAGTCTAATTATCATTTTCGACAGTAAAAAAATAGTATAATAAATAACTTTGAAATTTTATTGTTTAATTAAATAAAAAAATAACGATTTTGTGTTAGGTAGGTACCTAACACAGAATTTGATAACGCGGTACCCTAAATCGGTGCACTTTTGATTTAGGTACATTGGTGTTCGGTCCCGTCCGAGACTTTCACCAGTGTACTAGTGAGTTTTCAGAATTCAGAAGGTCAACTTACGTTTTCGTTCTTTCGGGACTTTTGGTTTGTTTTTCATACTCGTTCTGTTTGCCTGTGTGTTGTGTTTGTGTGCGGTCAGTGCAATGATAATGTGTGTTGGTGCTTGTGACGGTAATCTTGCTGCGTCTCGGCGGCTTTATAACGAGCGTCACGTGTCAGGAAGATCTGAAAACCCTCGACGTCTTCCTTCTTACCGGTGCTTCGCGGCACTTATGAATCGGTTACATACAACTGGTTCACTCCACAGTGTGCCACAGGGAAGCCGGCCGAACACCTATTCCACCGAGACAGGGGATATGATTTACGTCGAGTGTAAACGGTCTGTGTCGAGTCGAAAGGAGATATGTGTGTTACGCGGTGGCCGGCATATCAAGACTCTGGACTGATAAAGTGGAGGTGAAGTGTAGGTACTGTTAACAAGTGAGAACTGAAAGAGTGATTAGAACGCTGCCTCTAGGTGTGCGTTATAAAATATCTGAAAACTGTGTTAGTACCTGTCGAATAGGTGCTTAGCTATTTTCGTATGTTTATTTGTTGCAAATAAACTCATCTCATACGCCGTCAGTCGTGTGCGCGCGTCGGCGACATCAGTGTTTTCTAGGAAACGAAAACTGTACAATATCCCCCCACGAATTCAGGGTTTTTGGGGTGGAGGGGGAGAGGAGGGGTGTATTACCTTTCCACCAAAACACCCCCCACCCGACGGAAATGCACAGTTGCGGAAATATTCATGATTGAAATTCGAGGTTATATGAGTGTAAAAAAACATATATTATGACTATTGTTCTAACTTTGTTTCTGGCAGCGATTCGTTTTTTATTGGGGCTAGAGTTCTAACCTAACTACTATTCTGGTAGCATGTCATATTTGATAGCCACCCGTTTATTTTCATCTCCGGTGCTGTAGGCTCCTTCGCACCTCTGGGTCATAATGTTGTATTATCAAACAGGGGTACGTAAAACAATCTCAACTGCAATGCGCATAAATAATGACCGACAGTTTATTTAAACCTATTAAAATGTTATCGTTTTGCGTTTCGTTATTCCGTACCTCAATTCAAATAAAATTTAATTTATAGCAAATTTTCTCTTAATATGATGACATAATTTTGCAGATTATTTAAACATATACATATTTAAGTATGTTAATTTTATTTAACATAAATGATGACACAGTTTCATTTATTTTGCAACACTGTTTTGGCTGTATACAAAGTTCCCTTTGTCTCCACCCCAAATAAAAAGTACAGCTAAATCAAACTTGTCAGTAACAGTTGAAAAATTGTTAATTTTCATTTTTTTTTAAACTATGAATTTCCGTTAATTGAAAAAAATCGATGAACTATGTCAAGTAGGGTGCCGTTGAATAGGTATTTTAAAATCATCTTTGGTTCCTTTAATCATTTTTCATTTTAAATAATAGTTTAGGATATATGACGATTTAAAGTTTAATTAACTCCCTCAATGAAATGACTAGATTGCGAAATTTACCATCTTATAACGAAGTCAACGAATCGTAACTAAAAAGTATAAAATAAAAATAATAATTTAAAGAAAAACAAAAACCCCGACTGCCTAAAAACGAATTTTTATAACAATATAAATAATGCAAGCGTATTTATATTGTTCAACAAGGCATTCGCAGTGCAGCGATTTCTGTGCTTATTTTCAGTAGGCGATCATTGCCTGCCA